GAAAGAAAGCGATAGAAGCAGAGGAGGGAGGAATTCACACACCAATGGTAATGCCTACAACGACACATTGATAGAGAAAGAATAAGAAGGAAGTTTCTGATCACCTATAGCCTTCGGTGACTCCACTCCTCACACACACCACTGAACTTATGCGACAACCAATATAGGGTAGGGGAAGAGAAAATAAACCAAGAAGTCTCACCACTTCCAATGGCGGTACGACGACGATGAAGGAAGAAGAAGGCCACTGGCGTGGAGGAAGCAAGTCGACGGTGAAGGACTTAGAGGAGCTCATTGTCGGTGAAGAGAAGGAAAAAGGAATAGGATGCTTAACGATGCTTTGTTCTTCGCATAAGAAGGGAAAAAATTTGAACAAAGAATAATTGTTAAAATTACAGGAAAGACCCAAAATTTTTTCTTTTATAATATAAAAGACAAGAGCACTTTGATAATTTTACCATTATTAAAAAAATTAACCTATTACTTAAGAGGATTCAAACTCTGGACCTTCAAATAAGATACCAGCCTAAGTTATAATAAGTTACTACTCTTCAATTGCTATAAAATTAATTTAAGTAAAATATTAATTAAGAGAATTTATTTATTTATTAAAATTTAAGGTCATTATATTATTGTTTAATAAATATTTTATAATAAATATTTTATTTAATTAATCTTAGGTGGCATTTTCTGCATGAGGAAACTCCACCTAATTTTTTTAATTTATTTTTATTTGATAGTTAATTATTTTATTTGAGGATTCATTTTTTCAATAATTATTTTACAATAAATATAATATTTAATAAAAATATTATTTATTAATTATTGGCTAATTGGTTTCATTTATTTTATTTAATGAAATATATTTTCAATAATTATTTTATAATTAATATAATAATTAATTTTTTTAAAATATATAATTATTAAATACTATTTATTAAATATTAGATATTAAAAATATTATTTAATAAGTGAGGTGGCGTTTCCAAATGATGAAAATACCACCTCTTTCTTGTAAATTAAATTTTATTATTAATTTGAATTATTTTAAAGTATATAATTATGAAATAGTGTTTATTAAATATTAAATATTAAAAAATTATTTAAATGAGAGAGGTGGGATTTTCAGGTAATGAAAATGCTATCTCTCTTTGAAAACGCCACTTCTCTATTCTAAATTAAATTATTTATTAATTAATATTATTTTAAATATGTATATATATTAAATATTATTTATTAAAATTTTTAATATCAAAAAATTATTTAAATGAGAGTGAAAACGTCACCTCTCTCTTACAAATTAAATTTTTTTATTAATTAATGTTATTTTTAAAAATATACTTATTAAATATTATTTATTAAATATTAAATATTTAAAAAATATTTAAATGAGAGAGGTGGCATTTTCAAGTGGCAAATCAATCTAATATTTATAATTCCCAAAAATATTATTTAAACATAAGGTGTTTTCTTCATTTTGTATAGGGTGTTTAGAAGAAGGAAAAATTGATTGAAATTTTAAAAAGTAAATTTTGCACATGAAAATATTACAAATAAGTGGATAGCATCCCAATTATTTTATGAGCTAACTCTATTTTCTCAAATATTGTTAAAGTATTTTCATATTTATTTAACTTCAATTTTTTTAGTGTATTGACTATTTTGAAAGGAACTAATTTCATTTTATTAAGTTTTAAAAGGAAGGATAAAACTATTTTATGATTTGGTATTTTTTTAATTATTTAACATAATTGATAATGGTTGATTTATAGGTTGAGGAATAGTTTGTCATTGTGATTCATGCATGCTTGTTTTAAATTGAGAGACTGATTTCATAACGTTAGTTATTAACAACAATTTCGTTAGCTCTTGGCATATGGTTAAATCCTAGCTAACTTAGTATTTATGAATATCGTACTCATGCTTGTTATTCGTGGGTCTTACACCCATGCTTGTTTTGTGTCCTTCTGCCATGCTTATTAGTTATTTACCCTTACTACACTTATTAATCATTGCATTAGTCTTGCTAAAACATGAATGTTTAGAAACATATTATTTTTAAGTTTACCCTATTAAATAAAATATTATTTGATCGTATATAATTGTATATTGTGAATTATATAACTCAATTATTTAAGACAAAGACTATAGTTTGGAAAGTTGAACTTGATTTCTCCATTATCTGAAATTGCGCACACGCGCGCACATGAACGCGCGCGCGCGCACACACACACACTCTCTCTCTCTAAGATGAGTTTTAGTATGTTAATGGTTATTTTTTTATTGGATTTATAAATGTTCTTTTCCTTCATTTTTCTTAAATATTAAATTGAAACGTTATTTATTAAAAAATTATTTTTAGCTTTTGATTTTTCTATCACATTGATTTTCAACCATTTTCTTAAAGTGAATAAAAGCTGACAATGCATCACTCTTGGCCTTTAGTAGATATAACTACGTGTACCTACTATAATCATCAATGAGACTAATGTAGTAGTGAAAGCCATTAGTTGAGATAATAGGTGCTGGACCCCAAAGACTCGAGTGAATTAAGTCAAGTGGGGTTGAGGCACGAGAGTCAGAATTAGAAAATAGAAGTGTATGAGACTTGCCATATTGACAGGAAGAACAAAAATCAACATTTTCATTAATCTTTGAAACAATATTACAGCGAGTCAATACATTCTGTAATGTGATAGTAGAACAATGACCCAATCTTCTATACTAAGATTGAAGTACAGTACTAAATGCAACATTGTAAACTTGAGTAAAGGTGGCAGGTGAAGAATCAACAGGAAGAAATATAGGCTTCTAATCAGCTCGATACAAGCCTCCTTCATGTAGTGTCCCTATTAGTATGACTCTGTTCGTGGCTTTGTCCTTAACACAACACCTAAAAGCATCAAACATAATCAATGCATTGTTGTTTAAAGCCAATTTATGAACACTCATAAGATTCTTTTGAATATTAGGAACCACAAGTATATTATTCAACTTCAAAAGATCACAATGAGGAGCAAAAAACTAAGCACTAGTAAAGCTGTGAATGGGAAGCTTATATGTACCTCTAACTTCAAGAGTGCTAGATCGTCTACTATAGACGCATGAGCAGTGTTATAACTGACATGATGCATGGCACCACTATCAAAATACCAGGCTAGCTTAGTTACTATCTCAGGTGAGGCAAAGTATGCAACAGGGTCATGCCTTCCTGAATTAGGCTCAAAATAAGTTTTATCATATCGATAAAAACAATCAAATGTTGTATGGCCCGTTTTAGTGCAAACTTGACATGTAGGCTTATTATGATTATTATTATTATGACAACCATATCATCCTCATCTTTTACTGGAATGATTTCTGAACTCGAAAAGATCCCCTATTTAGAGTACAAGAAACAGAGGCATCTTTATGAAAAGAAAGATTAGCAAAAGCATTATTCAAGTTGTTCACCAATAGTCGGTGAATATGCTCCAATCATACTTCAAATGACAAGAGTCTAGACTGCATCTCAATCCACAAGTTTTCTTTGTCAATAAATTGAACAACAATTAGAGTGTATTTTGAATCAAGACATGTGAGACTAGCCATAATCAAATCTGATGTGGAGATAGGACTCCTTGGAAGAGCTAGATTATTAGACAGCAATTTCATCTTATCAATGTACTTGTTTATGCTCATGCCTCCTTTTTGAGCTCGTGATAATTCTCCTTTGAGTTGAAGAGAACAACATCGAGTATGAACTCTGATAAGTTCTTGCACACTATTCTAGAGTTGAATGAGGTTTTACAATGAAGCATATGTGAACTTATTTCAGCTTGCATGGAACTAAGAAGCCATCCATAAAGTAATTGATACGTTGCTATCTAGTCTTCATAATCTGGATTAACCTAAACTTCATCATTTACATGTATGTATTCCTATGAGCACTGCTTTACACCACTCAAATATCCATCAAGACGATGTCCTCGAACCATAGAAATGACATGTGAACTTTACAAAATGTAATTTGTATGATCCAACTTGATCATACCAGCCTGATTCAAACTACTAAGCAATAGAGTAACCTTGGTTATTGTCATCAGAACTTATGGAACAGTCAGAGTGATTGTACCAATTGGTGGTCTTACACTATAGGTACTAGTTAACGATGATCTAGAAGAAGCTGAGGTCGCTATTATCTTCTACTCTGATACCAAGAGAAAATCAAAGATAAAACTATAATTTAGAGAAATACTTTTCTGACTTAACCAACTTAGAAGATCATACCATTCATATTTATAGAAGTTTACATTGAGTAAATTAATGTCAGTTAAGCTAACAATAATTAGCTATAATAAACTAAGTTCATGTGTTACATAACAAAAGATATAATACAAAGTTAAACACTTATCTTTTGCACTTAGAATTGACCTTCTACACTTAAAATATAACTATACTTTAGAAATGGCATAATTTCTTGATTTAAAGTTTAAGAGATGTAAGTTATGGTACATATCTCATGATGGTCATTTCCATTTTGTAATGATTCATAATTTAATTAAAAATGAAAAATTAAACTTGATGGTAAAGTATTTTAATTATATTATATATATACTCCCTTCGTTTAAAAATATAATACATTTTTTTAAGAAGTTGGATGTTAAAAAATGTAAGGCATTTTTAGTCTTTTGAGATGTAATCATTATTTTTTTTTTAAAAGTGTTCCTATTGATAATGATTTTATATTTATTATAAGGTGTTTAATAGGAGTAAATATAAAAAAATAAAATTAGTTTAAAAATAGATAATTACTTTATTAATGGGTGAGATTTGATTAAAAATATTTTATATTTTTAAATAAAAGATATATAAATATATACATTGTCATAGATTTATTAAGGTGTCTTGGTCGAGTAATCATAGCAACTAACCCCATGTTATATCTTGAGTTCGAATCCTATTGCTTTAAAAGAGGATTTATCTATTTGTTTTCAGCCTTATGAAATTACAAATATGACCTCCACCCCAATCAGGTTTTTTTTGGCTCCCTCCGTCCCTCTTCTCAAATCGATCGAACATACCAGGTGCAGAGAAAAGGGAAAAAAAAAGAGAGAGCTCTGAACCAGAATCCCTCTGCCATTTCCGTCCTCTTCCTTCTTCCTCCACTGTCCTCAATGTCGCCGGCACCGTGGGTGTGTGGAGAGATGTATCCGCCGTTGCTCCGTCAAGGTCGAGACTTCTTTGTTCTCCTGTGCTTCACATCGTCGAAGTCTTTTCTCCCTCCTTCGTCCGTGTAGCTATGTAAGTGCATTAGGATTATTTTCTTCCTCTTCCTCTGTTTCATCGGCATCGGTCTGCTCTACTCTTCTCTGTGCATGTCGTCAATCAATTCTTCTCCCCTGTTTTGGCGCTGGCGCTGTGCTCTGGGGGCTGGGGAAAAGTTTCGATCCTCTCCCTCTTCTCGTGTTATTTGTTCTGCTGGTGAGTGAGGCTCATCTCACTCTCTTTTTTTTCCTCTCGTCTGGTCTCTCTGTGTGATTGTGCTGAATTGCTGAAATTTGGAATTTATCGTTGCCCTATTTAAGAATGCTGATCATGTATGGAGGTGGAAGAATAGAATTTTTTTTTTCTTTCTGAATTTGACTGATTATTGTGTAAGATATGAATTTGGGAATAATAATAAAAAATCTATATAGATGCTTGGAAAATTTTTTTTGGGAAAGAGATTTAAAAAGTAAGAGGCTGCGTGTATAGTTTAACTTTGAACGCACACAAGCTGCTTGAAGAAATGTTTGATGGAAAAATTTTATTTAAAATAGTATGTAAATGTAACAAATATATTCTTGCTGGGTAAATTGTTATGGTAGGCAATTATTCTGTAAAATAAACGGTGGAAATAAAATTATAAAATGACAATAATAAAAAATAATGTTTGGTTAATAATTCAAGGACGAAGTTTGTTTATTCTTTTGTTAGCTCTTGGGTACATATAAAATGTTTGTGAATTGAAGATTATGAAAACTATATATATATATATATTTATATGATTGACAGTGTTGAACAAGTTATAGCATAAGTCTATTTTCTATTAGAAGCTTGATGCCATAGTTAAATATTGATGTCCATAAGGTATTTGTTAAAATGCTTACAAGAGACAAAATGGAGAAATCAAGCATAGTCGTTGTATTAGGGACTAAAATTAGAATTTAGTTTGCTTAATCTATATATTGAAATTTAAAATGGTATAGATATTGCTTGTAAATATATATATATATATATATTATGTGATGGAAATTATTGGGAAGATACTTGAAGGGGAAAGAGTTGTATTATAAATGAACCTTAGACACACATAAAGTGTTGCCAAATTTTGTAAAGAGGAATTTGATTGGAATAGAGCAATTACGTATATTTACTGTATTAATGACTGGCATTTGGATTCATGCTGTTCAAGTTCTATGTTGAAAAGGGTATATATATTTATTGTGGTGGAAAGCTTGAGTCACTTATATGAACCTTTACACATATCTTGTGGGAAAAAAAAACAAAGAAAGAAGAAGAAGAAAAAGAAGAAGAAGAAGAAGAAGAAATATAGTAGCTCTTATTTTAGGCTTGACAATATTAAGACCAATGATTAACTATGGCGATATACATTAATAATTAATTTTATTTTTTGCTTTCTACAAGAGGAAAGTAGGTTGAGCTATTTTTTTAAAGTTTGTCGTGCACTTCGAATGGGATAGTATCTAGTGAGTTGTTGAAATGTAACCTCAAATGACTTAAGGAGTTTGGGTTGATGAATATATGTTAGCAAAACATAAAGTGGAATTATCATTAAAAAGAGTTGTTTGTTCCTCTTTTCTAGGTAATAGACTAGTTAAAGGGCTATTGAGAGGTAATTAGAGGAAACAAATCATTATTTTGGGAGCTTATTAGGTAAATAAATAGCGTCCCATTTAATTTATAATAAACTAATTCCATTTTATCAAATATTGTCAATGTATTTCACACACATATTAATATAACTTCAAGTTCTAATATTGACTATTTTGAAAGCGTTTGCTTTTATTTTATTAAAATTTAGACGAAAAGATAGAATTGTTTAACCTGTTTATATTGTTTGATTTATGAGTTGAGAAATAATTTATCAGTATGTTGCATGTATGGGAAATATAAATGAAATTGTTTTATGATATTTTGATGAGATGAGATAAGATGTTGATTTTATAAACCCATGTACACTTAATTTGAGTTGTGAAATTTAATCAGAATATTGGTTGCTAATAGCAATTCTATTAGCTCTTGGCGAGTTATAATAAAACTAGCTATTAAGGTGTTTGTAGGAGGTGTTAGCCCCGTGCGAAGGTCAACATACATGGAATGGAGACATGGTAATTCGTGAGCATTGTTCCCACGTTTGTTTTTGTAGGCCTTGTGCCTACACTTGTTTTGTAGCTTCTAGCTCCATTGGATTATTTTGTGACTTTAAGCCGTGCTTGGTTGCTTACTCTCGTGAATTGTGTGCTCATATTTATTGATTATTTACCCTGACAGACTGTGAGTTCATACTTGTTAATCGTTTTGATTAAGTTCTACTAAAAAATGAATCTTGAAGCTATTTTCTTAAATTGTATCTTGCAAGTAAGCTATTCTATTTATTTTTATCACATATGGATTATTATGTATAGTTATATAAGTCTCCAATATTTAAAGCTTATCTAGAAAATTTAAAGGGGGAACTTGAATTTTTTTAATCATCTTTATTGGAATTCATACATTCACGGCTTACCAATTTACATGACTGAAATTCATGGTTTATACATTTTCTTGACTGTTGATCTACGAAAGCGTTTATGTTATTTCAAATAATTATTTTATTAAATTTATAATTGATTCATTGATTTTTCTTATTATTATTGTCATTATTATTTCCTTCAATTGTAAATTGAGACGTTATTTACTGAAAAATTATTTTGATCTTTGATATTGTAATTGATGCTAAACTTCTTGCTAATGATTGATGGGTTTATTCTAATTGGAAGTGGAGGTGCTATGAATTAAGCATTCTTTTGATGTAAACTTTAAATTTATTAAATTGTATTTTATAAATTTAATTCTAGGTGCTTCATATAGACTATAATTAGGATCCCTATTTTGTTATATACTCTGTTAGCTGGTTGGAAGAAGCAGAGCTCCTGATTATTATGGTATTTTGCCTAAATCTTATGTTGTAAAATTTTTGAGAGGTCCTAATTATAAAATAGGGTTTTTGAAATTTTTACAAAAATGCTAAAGCTTTTGTTTGAATTAAAATTATTAAAAATGTCATAGTTTCAATATAAATGTAAGTATGTTTTATAAATGGACCAAATTTCTCGATGTAAGAGTTTAAGGATGTGAGTTCTGGTGCATATTCCTTATTGGTCACTCTCATTTTAATTGGGGCGTGACACAATTTTTAGGTCGTGATAGCAAGCAAAATGTCGAATCCATTATCATAATTATTTAGATTTTGTTAAAGCAAATACATATACAAGCATGCACATAAGAATAAAAACTTGACCCACTATTTGTCATTATTCTTTTGCTTAAATCCCAAATGAATAGTAATATACATGTTTAATAATATTTCAAACATTAAATTGTTGTAAACAATATCATATTTATTTTTTAGATGTTCATGATGTTGGATAATGTATTTTAATGATTATAAAATTAAGAGAAAATGTATTTGTTATATGTGCAGGTATAAAGAATCATGGATGAAGATAAAATTTTAAGAGCATGAAGAATCAAGAGAAAATGAAGAAGTTTAGGATAAGTATTTTAAATTTTTTTATATTTAATGTGAAAACTTAGATAGTTTAATCACTTTTCTTAATCATTAAATGAATGTATCATATGTTTTTTTTATATGCATTAAGACTCATTTAAGTATGTTAAAGTTTGCAAAAGTTTGCAAACTTTGGCTCTCTTGCATATGGTTTTTCATAAAAAAAGTTTACAGAGTGAAGAGGTAAAATCATGCGTGATTCTGCCGGTCATTCATGAATTTTTGTATGTTAGGCATGTTGACAGTTGGATCACGCAAGTGTGAAGAAGTGCTTCACACGTGATTAAACACTTGTGTTGTATGTTGCCTTATGCTCTGTCTCGGCATGCAAAACCACGCATGAAAGGCTTTAGTGTTCACGCAAGTTTTAGCACCTGTGCTTCATTATATTGTGATTAAGTGCAAAACCACGCGTGAGACTGATGATAGCCACGCGTGATTTGTCACTTGTTGAACAATCACACTTTATTTTATTGAGACTTAAAACCTTTCAAGTCAAGCCAAAATTGTTCACATGTATGATCATTGATTCATAAATTCATATCTCTTGATCATGCAAAATCTTGCTTGAGTTATGTTGAGTTCCATGTGTGAATATGCATCAGACAAGTTTATACATCAGTACTTGCAATTGTACGCATGATATGTTTCTAATTCCACGTGAGTTTTGATTACATTGAATCGCTTTCGCATTCTGTCAGCCATTTTATGAGTGAGAGAGTAAGGGTTCCACACGTGATTTGTCACACAAAATTGATAATAGTTCTTAATGTGCAAAATCACGTGTGAAGGCAAGTGGTGCACTCGCAAGTTTTAGCACTTTGTTATGTTAGTATGTCTATAAATGCAAAACCACGTGAGAGAGCAATAAGATACCATGCGTGATTAAGCACATAAAATTGAATGATTATTCATGAGTGTTAAATCACACAAGAGAGCAATGAGGTACCACGCATGATTAAGTACATAGAATTAGATGATATTTTAAAAGTGCAAAACCATACGTGAGAAGATAAGGTGTTCACGCATGATCTGTCATATTCAGTTTTGTGAAACTTCCTTATTGCAAAAACACGTGTGATTATACTAGTCATTTACAAGAAAATGTATCAACAGATAGAATCATTGTTCCAATGGTTTGTCAACTTTTAAAAATTATATAAGTGATTTATTTTGAACCAGAATGGAGACTAATGATCTTTGAGTGAACAAATTATCATTTGTGCATTTAAAAATCTTTTAAATTGTGATTTTTATTGATTATATTTATTCATTATTCTTGAATAGAATTGTAAAAAGCTCTCAAAGGTTTATAACTTTTTATTTGTATCATCATCTATTCTTTAAGACAGTTTTCTATAAAAAGTTTTTGCTATCATTTCAAAAATTTTGAAAAGGATTTTTTCAAATATTGTAATATCTTGTCGTATCGTAGTAAGGTGTGATAAGTGAATCTAAGACAAAATTAGTTTTGAGATTTATACTGTGGTGACAAGCATCCATTAAAATTTGTGATTTTAATTAAAAATTTCAAGTGTAATCTTGAAGATTAGACGTAGGCTAAGTTTGTGGTTGAATCAGTATAAATCTCTGTGTGTCATATTCTTCCATCACTCTTTAGCTTTTTAATCCTTTCAAGTTTTTGTAAGATTTTAGTGTTACCCAATTCACCTTCCTCTTGAGTGTCAGCCCATCCTAATGCATGACCACCTAAGATTCAAGGAACATACTTAGAACTTTCTTGAATCATTCTATTTTATCTCATGACATCCATGAATTCAAGTTATCAAGTGTAGAAACATTCATATGAACCAAATATATTCATATTCATTCATCACTTCATGAAATGTGCATCATAATATAATCCAAGTGTTAATATTAATAATTGTAGGCCTATAAGCTGAAGCTCACCCGCCCCAAAGAGGCCTGTAAACTAAAACCCTCCCCAAAGTCCGTAAATCATCAATTGAATATACTATTTCTTATGTAAAAGTGACTTATATTTAAATTGTTTTACTGTAAAAAAAATAAAAACAAAATATGATTATGGAAAAAAAATTTGACTAGACCTGTAGATCCAACGGTTGATTATTTAAAAGAATGCATCTTGAAGTACTCTTGTGAATTTAAGATAATATGATCCTTGAGAATGTAATGAAGTTATTGGGCCTTAAGTACTACATACTTTGAAACCGCTCTTGCCAATGTTGTTTTGAACAAAATGCAGTTCTTGAAATAGAGCTAGACAATTGATGGCTCCGAAGGACTATTGTATGAAGTTACTTTATCCAATTAATTTGTTGGATAATTAATAATTGGATATGCATGCACGCGAGCATTATATTCATGTGATCCACGGAAACGACCTAGGTTCATTTTTACCAAATTTATTTCATAACATATAAATTACCGACCCATGTATAATTGCTTTCAATGGTATTCTATGTTCTCAAAGAGTCTTCATTATTAGCAAAATCATCTACTTACAATAAATTTCGAGTTCTCACACACAGTGGGATTCAACTCTAATTTCCCTATATCCAGATTCATTATAACACAAATCAAGTCAAGTTGGTGGCCAGTCAGCAAGCTAGTATGAATATCTCAAATGGGTAAACACAAATCCTAGTTATAGCAACAAAGATGAGATGGATGATGAACTCATTCTTCCATGTATTCTTCCAAATCCTGCAACACCAAAATATTCATAATATATATTAGATGGCTTCCAAAATCTTTCAACGAATCTGTACAAAAATGAAACTAATTCATCTATGAAACTTACTTATGCGAAAAAGATTTCGATCAAGAGCAACTGAAGATTGCTCGGGAACCACCTGTAAAACGATAATTGACAAAATTATTAGATAACTATAAGCATAAGAAATTAATCAACGTTTTGAAAATAAGCTGCATTTTGGAACAATGTTTATTTATTTTTATTGTCCACCTAAAATCATGTGCACTCCTTAGGGAGGAGAAGAAGAAGCTTGAAATAATCTTGTTGCCGGTTTTCTTCCCATCAAAGAAGTATCAACGGTTTTGCTTTCATTTTTATATTTTTGACAACAAAACCAACAACTGAAAGAGCAATAACAATTATAATCTTGTTTGTTATGTATCACATTAATTAATTATGATATATATTTATTTATTGTAATTCGTAATTAATAAAGTCATGCAGATTTTTGTAGATGGGGTATTTTATAGAAACTGGACACAATAAAAGAACATATGCGTAACCAATACGTGTTACTGCTAGTAGAGGAGGCTATGACTACTTAAATATGAAATATCAGGTTTGAGTCTGTATAAATGCCAAAAGCACCTTTCAATAGAGCTGTCCTAATTGGGCTTGATAATAATGCTTGAATCTAATATAATCAGACAGTCATGTAAAATGAAAAAGAACGTAGGTATTTGTTGTGGACGCACCTTAGGCATCTGCCGGATTGTGTTGTTAACATTGGTGTCCCAAAATCTTATATTCTCTGTCACTTGAACAGCTTGAAGAACAGGTGTGTATATGTCTCCTGGACAGAATATTTGGAGTGAAGGACAGTGTCTTATAATTAATTGATCCAATGATGGAAACTCGAAGGTATAAAAATCATGGGAACAGAAGCTCTTCAAGCAAGATAATCCAACAAGTTCCAAACACTCCAATTTTCCAAAATTGACAAGCTCGTCCTCGTCGTCCTCTCCTTGCAGCTTTATTATAATTTCTTCTATTCGATCACAGTGTGACACAGTGAGCTTTGTAAGATGGACCAAACTTCGAGCTGTGGACGATGTCACCAAACAGGTCAAGTCGTCGCAATATTCCACATGAAGATGTGTAAGATTTTCCAAAGAAATGAAGGATGGTCCTAAACTTATCAGATCATAACACTCAGAAACATGTAGTTCTTGAAGACCTTGGAGAAGATGTACTGGAGGATTCTGATCCCATATGTGCTTTGCCTTTCCCAAGTGCTTAAGAAGCAATTTTCCAAAAGGAGAAGCAAATAATAATTGAGAATTATGATGATGAGACTCCTTAGTACTTGAGAATATCTCTTGATGAAAAGAGCCACCATACAAATTAAGCTCCTCAATATTTGGAAAACTTGTCAACAATCCCTAAGCATTTGTTGTGCGACCAAACTGAAGTAGATTAAGATCTTTTACCTTGGGAAATTTGGACTTTGGCAACTGGATATTCAACATCATCCGAGCTTCTTCTCCCTCCAAATACAACACCTCCAACTTGGGAAAATCCTGGACAAGAATTAATAGTGTTTACAAAAGCATCTACTTGCTCAAAAAAAAAAAAAAAGAAATCATGTTTAGATTCATGAGAATTGGCTTCAGATTAAAAATATTTTCAAAATTTTCCAATGGGAATTTAATTAAGTAACTCCAATAATATATTACTAGTTGGAGTCTTATCTCTTTCAACTCATAACATCTAGAAAAATAAATGATTCACACACCTTTAAACATGCTCTGATCTTATATACAAATCACTATTTAACTAATTCATCGTAATTAAAGAGAGGTGATTAAATTATTTTTATATTGTCTAAAAAAGAAAGAAGTTTTTTTAATTTATCATTATTAAATGCATTATGTTTAAAAACAATTTTTCAATCATAAATTTAGGAACAAATACTATATGGTAAGAGATGTACCTCTTCGTGCGAGAGCAGAGGATATTTTGAGTCAGGTTTCATCTCTTCATGATGTATTGCTGATGAAGAACTTGAGGCTTCATTTTCAAATAAATCTAAATCAGTAAAAACAACATATAACTCCTCAAGGCATGGCCATTTTAATCTGTGTCTGTGTGGATAGAAATTCCTCAGATTTGGAAGATCATCAAGGTAAAGAAAGGTCAGCCTAGGGAACACAATTAATGTATCATCATCAACAACAGATTCTGAAGCTTGACCATCCTGATTTGCAACAATTACATCTATACTACAATCTTTTATTTTAAGCTCTTCAAGACACGACATGTCTTTGGCTATAGAAGCAGGAAATATACTATTCAACTTTTCACAACTAGAAGCAATTACCTCTTGTAGACATCGAAAGGAAACAAGTCCTTGAGGGGCATTATTATTATTGCTCCACACATTCTGAAGCTCTGGCAAATCCAATAGTATTAGCGTTTTCAATGGCACAACCACTAATGGCTGAATCTCTCCATTGTAATCATTTAACTCTTCAAGATCAAATATCACCTCCAAAATGTAACAATCACGCACCACCAGATCTTCCAAGTGGTTTAAGGATCTTAGCACATGGAAAGGGATCAATTTCACAAAACCACACATTGTCACTGTCAAGTTTTTCAAGTTGCTAAACAAGCTGTGTGGAAGTCGATTCCAGAACCATAGCACCTGCCCAAAGAAAATATGATTAAAAACGTCACTTCTGATTTGTAGACTTGTTCATGAAATATTATATCAATGTTTATATGTTCGTGTGTTTGGATATATTAAAAATTGTAAAACTGAAATTTCCTTAAAATGAAGTTTACAAACTGAAGTTAGGATAAAAATCAGATACTGTAATGTAATTTATGTTTGAATAAAATATTCTTAACATGATTTATGTTTTGATAAATAAATACAAAAGCCAAAAGTCAAAAGCAGCTTCTATCCTAATCTTAAGTATGAGCCAAAATCGGTTTTCTTACAATTTCCATACAAATAAATTGTTTTCGATCCAATCTGACTTTGGGACCCAAAGCTCAGTTTGGATTTAAACCAAACAGACAATTTTATTAGCATCACTCAAACACACACACACACACACAAATTATCGCTATCAATTATTTGAATACCCGAGTCTTTAGCACCTGCCCAAAGAAAATATGATTAAAATTTGGAAAAACGGAGTTTTTATATAAGCTGAAATTAGGATAAAAGTCAGTTACTGTGATATAATTTATATTTGGATACATTTTTTTAATGTGATTTATATTTTTATAAATAAAAAAAATCAAAAGAAAGAACAAAAAAAAAAAAAACAGCAGCTTCTATCTAACTCAAGTTTGAGGCAAAATATAGAATTTTAGCATTCAAACACTTTCGCGTGCGCATATATATGTGGGTGTGGGTGTGGGTGTATATAATTTCACTATCAATTATGTGAGTATCAGAGCATTTAATTGGTACAAACATTGTGAAAGAATCTATTGGCTGACTTGTATGAATTATTTTGGCATGAAAAGTTGTTAAACCAATAAAATGTAGGCTAAAAGTATATATTTAGTTTCTTTAATTTTATATGAAGTTTTGTTTTAGTCCTTTAATTTTATAAAATATTTTTATAATTTTTTAATCTTAAAACTGTTAGTTTCATCATAAAAAAATTACATATTAATTTTTTAAATATTAACAAAATATTTTTAAATACTAACCTATTAAGTTTGATTTTACTAAAATAACAATGATTAGCACAACAAATAATTATTTTTTTAAGACTAACAATATTATGGTTAAAGAATTGAAAATATACTGTTTAAAATTAAAAAATTAAATTAAAACATTATATGAAATTGAATGATTAAAAATATACTTTAATCTAAAATGTAAGAATGAATTAAGTTGAATATACCGGATAATCCTGCATCATTCCTTCATCTGTTCTCTTCCAGCAACTCAAATTTTGAAGCTTCAAAGTCTCGAGTATTGGGAAGGCAATTACTTCAAGAGTACTTGTCGAGTTAAAAACATCTTCGATGTCATCATTATTTTCAATATGAAGATGTTTTAAATACTGAAATCCTCTCCCACCTGGATTGCATAGAACATCTTCGAGCCCACTGATTCCATCTAAATACAAATCTTCAACTCTCTCCAATAACTTTCGAATTCCACTGTCAGAGTGAATAATACTTCTATTGTTCTTCAACTCTAGTTTCAATGTCTTTGAGTTTTCATAATTGCCTTGCCATGCCCAATGATCTCCGATGAATATTCTGTATCTCTCCAAATTCTTATCTAAGAACAAGTCCTTTGGCAAAATAGAGGCATCAGGAATATGAATATCAAGAGAAGAGATTGGCAAATCCTTTAACTCGTCAAGACTTGCATTTGCGTTGCTATCATTGTCAGATCCTTCAGCTTCCCACTCGTTAAAGCTATTTTCCATGTGCAAAGCCTCCAATTTTTTCAATTTAGATAACAGTTTTGGTGGAATCACTCTGAGTTTGGAGCAATGGGCCAATTCAGCATTTGTAGAGAAGTCAATTCCCCTAATTCAATAGGCAACCTTTCGATTTCAGAGTAAGCAAGACTCAGGATTTTCAAGTTCTTCAAGCTTCTAACCTCTGTAATGTCTTCCAGAAAACAAGAGTGTAAGCAGAATGTTCTGAGCTTTTCCAGGAAACGGAGTGATGATGGTAGTGATGAAAACTTCATATTGCTGAAACCCAACAATCTAAGTTCCTGAGCAGATCTGAAAAACATACTAGGTATGGTCAAAGTAAGGTCTGTACTATTTAGTAAAAAGAATTCTAATCTTGGACAATTTAGCTCTTCTGGAAGGTCTCCAATATCACTTTTTTCCAAGCATATTCCCTTGTAACCTTCCAAGGCATTTTCATCTGGCCATTCATTCAACGTTCTATGTCTAACAATGAAAGCATACTGTTCATTGGAAGCAATCGATAGTGCAACATCTCTAATGACATCATGTATTGTAAAACTATGACTAGAAGAGCTATCAAGCAACAAGTTTGAAGCTTTTAGCTTACTTATAAAAGCAAAGATTCCATCCTGAGCTTCTTCCAAATTTTCTGCACCTTAAAGTAAATCTAGCCCCACTGAGTACATGAGTAGGTCTTTAACTAAGGTGTTAGGGGACAGCATAGCAGAAAGCAAGAAAATGGGTTTGTGCTCTGAGCTTAAATGATCATAACTCAACTTCAAAATGGAATCAACCTCTTTAATTCCTGTGGTGTTTCTTCGTAAAGGGTTTTTCAATCTTTTGAGGAAATCTCTCCATTCAGTAAGATCTTTTCCTCTCAGTGCTCCAGCAGGAACAACTATAGCTAATGGCAGCCCTCCACACTTTTGAACAATCTCAGTGGCTATAGTCATCAAATCTGGACTGTTTGAGTAAGTACTAAGTCCAGCAATCCTCTGGAACAGATCCCATGATTCCTTGTCATCCAAAACATCCACTTTGATAGTTCTTTCACATCTCATTTGGTTTGATAGCAGCTTTTCATTTCTTGAAGTCAGTAAAACTTTGCAACCAGCTTCTTCTTCTTCTTTTGGCCTTGAACAACCAGCTTCAGCATTCTCATGTATCTTATTATGATTTCCAATATCATTGATAAAAGGAATTCCAACTTTGGCTAAATCAAGCTCCTCCCATAGATCATCCAATATTAGGAGCATATTCTTCTCTTTCTTCATCCTCTCACACAAACGAAAGGCTCTTGTGCTTTCAGTTTTCTCATCAAGTTTCATTCCCAACATCTCAGCAATTTGGTCCTGAATGTTCTCAAGGTTCATGTTATGAGAAACAATTGCCATGCTCACCTTTTTAAACATGTTTTCATCTCTTGCTTTCTTTGCTACTTCATTTGCTATTGTGGTCTTCCCAACACCTGGAAGCCCATATAATCCAACCACACTAACACTAGGATCTTTTAGTGCCTCCATAATCTGCTTCATAATTGGAACTCTTGATTCAAAGCCTTCATTGCTTTTCTCATTGGCTGAGTCTGGAATAATCCACTGGGGAGCATCAAGATATGAAACTTTATCAAAATCTAGCAGTCGAAGAATTTCAACAACTTCCATTTTCATCTTCTTTGCTCTTTTACTTGTTTGATAGCGTGACCACGGATTTGAACATGATGTTTGACTACACCTAATGGTGTTTGCTTCGTTGTTGTTTTCTTCACTGAATTGTTGTGCATGCCTTGCAATTATCTCATCAACTTTACTCGTCAAGTTCTGAACTTTGGCAACAATGTTTTCCCCTCTTCTTTGAGCTTCATCGATTAAGTGTTGTTTAGTGCCTTGTTCATTCTTGAGTTCCTCAACTTTCTTCTTTAGCTCTTCAACGTTGCGATGAAAGTAAATCAGATAATCAACCTGTCTCTTAGGATAATCCCATAACTTCTCCAATAACTTCTCCAAAAACTTCTGAAGAGCGCATACACAACAAGTAGCAAGTTCCATTGTGAATGCTGTTGAGCAAGAAAATCCCAATTAAAACCAATCCTAAAAAGTCAATTTAGCAAAATAATAAATTTATTAGTAATCTTAAAAGTAAAACAAATAAACGAACAAACAAACAAATTACACTCTCACTCACCTCTCTCTGAAGTAAGTAAAGATAGCGAGATGTTGTGCAAGCTTCTCTTTTTCTTCCCTTTATCTTTTTATGATCTGAAAGTCAATACAAAGAATTGAAGCAAGTGAAGAGAATAGTTCACGCTAATTGGGGAAAAAAAACTTATAACAACGAAGAGTAAACTTAACAAATATAGAGGACAAAAACAAGTAAAATCAAGAGTGCAATACCTTAATCTGATAATATAGTTAGAAGAGGCTTCTCTTTTTCTTCTATTTTGTGCGCTGCTCTGAAAGTCAAGAATATGTGACCATATATATAAGCGAATGAATTAAGGCCGCAGAAAAGTCACACAAAACAAAACAAGAATGCTTGAAAAATTCAAACATGCATTTACCCAGTAACTATATCTGATGCTTTGTAATAATAATTAAATCCATGAGAGCCTATCATTCATCAGCTAATTAATTAAGAGGCATAAATCTATATTTTGAACTCACCGTTTAAACTAAACAAATGTGAAGTGAAGTTCCTTTGAGATGAAAAAACTAAAATCAGCCTCTCACGGTGCAAGACAGATGAAGGATATCACCAAAAGGGAAAAGCTATAAAAGTTAAAGGAATGATGAAAGATTAAGAGTTTGTCACAAACTTGATCTCAGTTTTTTTTTTTTTTGGCTGTGCAGCAATAATTAAGACGCGCAGAGGGAAGAAAGTGAATAAGAAGGCAAAAGTCGAAGTGTGTCTGAGAATTGAGATGAAGCAATATGTGCAGAATCTCTGTGAATGAAGATGAAGACGACGACGATGAAAGTCGAGACAAATGCTTTACGTTGCCAAAAGCTCGCAGCTCCCATAAAGCCCCAACGTTGTGAGAAGAAAGTTGTTTTATTAATTGTATGAGCGTGTGTGCGCGGGTGTGCGCGCGTGCATGTACTGTATAGTATTTGTCAAATGCTCAATTATTAGTGAGGAAACATCATATAATTAATGTTATCAAAAGTTTAAAATATCAATATTAATAATCACTTGGAGTTAGTCCCTTTCATCTTTATCATAAGACACCTTCAACTATACCTCACTGAAATTAAGAAGATGGGGGTAAGTGATTAACTTATTTAAAAATAGAATAAATTTTTAATTTTATTCCTATTTTTTATTTTTTTTAATTTATATTATATTTTCTCTCATAATTGATAAATTTAAATAGAAGTAATATTAAAAAAATGTAATTAATACTCATAACTTGCCTTATATTAAGGACAAAAAAATGTTTCTAGCTAGGAAGTACCTAATAACTCAAATGAAAATGAAGAGGTGAATAGTATTGGTAGAGGTTAATGACTTAAATTTAAATCTTTTTGAAAGACTAAAAAAATGTCGATATTAATATATTCATGAGCCACACTGATTATGAATTATGAATAGTGTAATTTATCTCAACCACGCACAAGTATATATACTAGGTCAACTCAAGTTAATAATTTAATATGTTTAATTAATCAACAACAACATCAAAAAGTCTCTATTACCTATATGTGTGTGTGATATTCGATAAAAATTTTAAGTTAGCAGTCAAGAACTGAGAATTTAACACAACTTTCCTTCTTTATCTGAACTTTTTAATATATTTAATTAATCATAAAAACAAAAACTACAAACTAACTGTTATTTTACATCCGACAAGGTAACATATTCTCTTCTCAAGATTAATAAAGCAGAGAGGAAAAAGATTATTATCAGCATATTTTTCTTTTATTCTCTTTTCAAAAGTAACATCAATATGGACCCAAGTGATGACTACTTATTTTTCACGCCACAAGGTACATATTCTCTTGTTAAACAAAAGATTGATTTATTTCAGTGGGAGAACATCAAGAATGGAAGATAGGGAGACCAATTCTCAAGAAATTATAGAGAGGATCAGCATATATACTTTTTTCTCCTCCTTCTTTCAAAGGTAATAGTTGTATTTATGTTTAATTAAATCACTAGCTAAATATTTTATGTCTAGACACTTGGTTAAACTTGACTAGTTAATTAACAAAAAAAAACTATATAAAATTGTTTCCTTTTCTCAAAATTTGGTAGTAACATTTTTAAAACTTAATAATGGGTGTCGTTAAATCTTATAATAACTTTACACTCCTTGAAATTCTTTATTAAAATTTTAAATAAATTTAGTTAATCTAATAAATCTAATTCATTTAAATTTAATTCTTTAAAGCAAGCTTTCTTCTTTTTAAAATCTTATGTTTTAAAAAGGATTTGATCATTCCCAAAAGGGAAAAGTACTAAAGTTAAAGTAATGGTAAAAGATAAATTAAGTGGGTCTATATTCTCAAAGAATATGAATAAATAAAGAAGAGATGGATTTTGACCTAAAGGGAAAAGCAAATATTGTAAAGTATTGCTTACTGGCCAAAAATAAAATGTAAGACATTAATAAAGTAAGCTTGGCTCTCTTTAGGTAAATACTTTTTTAAAAAAAAATGTTTGGTATGTTTTACTGTTATAAGTGTGGTATTTAAATATTTTGATAATTTATATGAAGAAAATAAACCGATGCAATTTGTTACAAATTGGGACTAAACGTTACATTCTTTGGTAATATAAAAATGGTTAAATTAATATTTATACTTTAACCCCTTGACTTTATTTAATATATAAAATAGATGGACCGTTTCTATTGTATTACACCATGAGAGTTTTGTTTTATAACTTTGAGTCTTTTATACATTGCATTTTGAGCATTTTTTTCGGAAGAAAAAGGGAAAGGGGAGAAAGCAAGGAGGAAAACAACTCAAAATATTCACTCCCTCCGTCTCATTTTATGAGACATATTTAAAGGTGATTTGGTGTCCAAAAATATAAAATGTTTTGAAAAAATAAAATTACATTCATGATTATTTCAATATTACCTTTTGTTATGTTATTCCTTGAATAAATTTCCTTCTCTCCCTTTCTTATTAATAAATAGTATTTTTGAAAGTTTATAAAAAATTAAGATTGTAAATTGTATTTAACAAACTTTATTTGTATGTGTAATTTTATCAAAAAATACCTTATAAATTGAGATAAGAATATTATTCAATCACAACAAGAGTGAAGAAGAAATTTACATTGATAGCGATATTTAAATATGAGCTAACTGGGTTTGATTATACCTCAACTATGCTCTCTCTAGTCCTATTTAATATTTATAAGTTGTTTTTGAAACCCAAAAAAAATCTTAATAAATATCATTAGCTCTATCTTAAAATTTAATAAGTTTCTGCCTCTAACCTTAATAATGACAAAAATAATTATTTTTAATAATTTTTTTAGTATTTAATAAAGGGAAAAAGATAAAGATGAATAGTACAAAAATTAATATTCTCTTAACTCTATAAATAGAACTAAAAAAGTACTCCATCCATTCAAAAATGTAAGACATTTTTTAAGAAGTTATATATTTAAAAATGTAAGGTATTTTTAGTTTTTCAAGGTGTAATAATCATTTTTTTCTAAAGTGTCCTTATTGATGATGACTTTATATTTATTATAGGGTATTTAATAAAGATAAATATAGAAAGATAGGGTTAGTTTGAAAATATGTAACTACTTTATTGAAGGTGAAATTTGATTAAAAATACCATACATTTTTAAACAGAGGGAGTATTTGTTTGTTATAATATCTCTTATAAACAACAAATTATACTATTGAGTCCAATAACAAATTAAATTAGACTAACTATACAATCAACATGCATTGATCCTCACAACTTAACAAATCAAAATTCAAATTTTCACTAAAAAAGGTTTTCATGTTTAGAATTCGACGATACCTCAAATAAGAGGATACCTGTAGATAAAAAAAAAAGTATGTTGATCCTAATAAAAAGGGTTATCACCAAAAAAAAAATACATATTTATAAATGCAAAATCTGCCTTTGAAAAGAATTACCTTCAATTAGATTCGAGAATGCTTGAATATAACTCAATTAGATAGCAGTATAAGGAAAAAAAAAAAAACAACCTAACTATACAATCTCCATAACCATGTGACATTATGGGATTTGGTTATAATTGATTTTGTAAACTTTAGATTCAGTCACAATTAATTATATATGGATTTTATTTCTTCAGAGATTATTTTGACAAAATGAAATATGTTTGTATGATTTTAATCGAAAACATTTTTAATCGAAAATGTGTTTTATTACATATGATTTAATTTATTTAGTAAATAAAAAACATAAAATATACATAAAATAAAAATCTAAAAATATAAAAAATGTTATAAGATGGGCAACAGTAGTAGTTCAAATTTTTACTGTATTTAAACACTTTTCGGGGTGATTTTCAAACGCAAAAGCAAGTCCAAAGCTGATTCTCTGTATTAATATGCAAATATTCGAAGTTATAGCCTTTTGCGTTTAATCAGCAAGTTACCCCCTCCAGTTTTTTATTGTTAGAGAAACTATTATTTTTAAATTGTATTTTTTATAAGCAAAATTACTCATTTTGATGACTCCCTATTTTATATTAGAATTGGTATGTTTTTGGTTATATTTTGATAGTCATCAATAAAAAAAAGAAACACTTTCTTGCTTTTTTTAAAAAAAAAAATAACTAAGTGCCTCATGTGAATTTATTGTAATATTTTTAAAAAAATTATTTAAAATGATAAAAATTAAAGTAAGCAAATATTATATTCATATTAATTAATTGTGGAAGGTGGAGCATGTATACATCAAAGCAAGAAAGAGAAAGGAGACAAAAACATAAAAGCAAAAGTTTCTACGCATTGTTAGAATTTTTAGAATTGCTCATTGGTGCCATGGCACCACTGAATGCAGAAACACACAATTTTATTTTCTATGTAAAATTAACCTGCATAACTCATTTTTCTAGACAAGAGAAGGCACTTTTCAGCTATTGTAACTAGAGAAAATTCTAAGAGAACAAGAGGAGGAGTCTTGAAGCTTGGGATCAAGAAGAAGTGGAGCAAATATTTATTCTACCTCAGTTTTTTAGTGTTTTCTCTTCTCCTTTTCCTTTATGCTGATAGATTCAAATCTTTTCTATGTTGTTACAGTTTTCATTTTATTTATGTGTGGTTAAATCTTCTTGTTTTAGAGGACTAAGAACCTAGTTATCTGTGTAAATAACCTTGGATTTACGATTTAGTTGTTGAGAAATGAAGTTTTGATTACTTATTCTTGAGCTATTTTGTTCTTGTTCAGTGATTGGCTACCACTAGGTGAGATTTAGGCTAAACTTTGAAAGATAAGACTCAAATTGGATCTTGAGAACTAGTAGCCTAAGATTAGTTTAACTAATTTGCTATTAGAACAAGAATGTATCTAATGAACCTAGGTAATCCTTATGGGTTAGGGTCTCTAATGCAATTAATTAATTAAGATAATAATTTATTTTAATTGAATTAATTAGGATCCTTAGTAATCGAAAGATATTTTGGATTGATTTAGATTCTTGGATTATCAAAACTAAATTTCAAGACAATTAATGTGGTAATGAGAGGGTTAGGAAACAAATAGGAGATTATGACTTTAGAACACTCTTCTCTTAATTGACTTTAGTTGTTTGTGGATTAAAAGTTATTTTAATTGATCACTTTTTATATTTTTATTTTAATTTTTCTAAAATTAATCTCTAGTTTTATTAGCTTAACGTGAATAAATTTAAAAATTTAATGCCTAATAACCATTTTAATTAATTTATTGAAGGATCAATCTTGATTTATTACTAGCTTCAATTACGACCCGTACACTTGTGGTGTCTTTTAATTTTTGTGGGCATCACATTTCAATAAGTATTTATTACACATTTTTTAAATCACCCTTCATAATATACATTAACAAGAAACAATTAATGCATAGTTATATTGATTAACACATGGTATCTTAGTCCTCTTTTTTATTTTTAGAGATAATTATTATAATTGATCAACTTTCTTAAATTGTGTGATACTTTTTTTTTTCTTATATATAAAAATGATGGGAGTATGACATACTCAAATATTATTAAAAAATGAATTCAACTATTATATATAGATTGTATTTAAAAAGTTAGATATATACTCATTTCGTTCAAAAATGAAATGCATTTTTTTAGGGATGGAATGTTAAAAATATAAAGCATTTTTAGTTTTTCAAAGTGTAATAATTGTTATTTTTTTTTTAAAGTACCCATATTGAATAAATCACTTTATATTTATTCTAAGATGAAACACTCTATTAAATTGAGATAAATATGAAAAGATAAGGTTAATTTAAAAACAAGTAACTGTTTTATTGAAAAGTAAAATTCTGTTAAAAATGCCTTATATTTTTTAACGGAAGGAGTAATAGTTTTGTAATTATAATATTATCTGCCAGTCATTCACTGTGACATAGTTATTCATTACACACATAATTAAGTTAACATAATTACTTTTCAAGTAAACATAAACCCAATCCATTCTAAAACAAGACTTGAAGAATCTTCACAAAGTAAAACGAAATCGGAATAAAAAGAACAAGACACAATTCTACAAGCACACACAAAATCCCATATTGTCTCGAATTTGTTATCACTCTAATGAACTCGATCGTTTTCGTGGACCAAACCTGCAGTTAATTAATTAATTCAAGTGCGCTTGAGGACAAATAATTGTCCCAAGGTCTTGAATGATGGGTCCAAAAGGAAGATGGATTCTGCCAATTTCTTCTCATAGCGATTGAAAATGTCATCCACAAGGTCTTGTCCGAAGTGTTCCTTGAAGACACCTTCCCACACGGCTCTCATGTGCATGCAAGCACTGCGAACATCTGGAAGTTGCTCGTTGAAGAGCCGAAGCAATAATTCTGACTTCTCAATTATGAACTTCCCATTCTTCTCTATCAATTCTTTCACTTCTTCTGATCCTGGCATGTACATCGGTATGTTGAACGAATCTACCAGCTCTTCCCCAATGAGTCCCTTCATTTTCAAAATATGTTAATTGGTTTTATATATATATATATATATATATATATATATGAGCTTATCAATTTATTCAGTAATGTCAAATTTGTATCAGAAATCAACCATCAGATAAATAAAGCTAAAGTGTGAGCTCCTGAACCAAAGAAACACAAATATTACAATATGTGACTAGATTTCTATTATATTAATTAACCATTCACTTAATTATTTGTAACATAAAGATAATTGGTTCTTCATTTAATTTTCCACTTCATTTCAATATTTAACAAAATTCATAATTTGCTGAGTAAGTTGGGCGATAAAATTGAGTGTAAGCGTTGTTAAAATCTAAGTCAGAAGTTACATGTTAATGTTAAATTTTGGATAAAATATGCAAAAAGGGGAAGAAAATTACATCTTTTAGAAGATAATGCATATGATCTGGTTTTGAAGTATGTATTTAAGTGAATTAATTTAGTCCCCCCCCCCCCCAACCAAAATATCATCTTACAACAATCCTTCAACACTTCGGCCTACACACAACTTACCTGTACTTTTGTTTTTTTTTGGTCAAGCCGTTTTACAGCGTCTGAATTCGGTGCTCATTACTTGCATGGCTAGGAGCAATCTTGGCCTCTCTGTTGTTTATTTAAATTAATTTTTATATATTTTTAATATTTTACATATTAATATAAAAATTTTTAATATTAAATCTGAACTATTCACAATACATTGAAATTGTTAGTTTATAAAATTTATAAATTTATGATATTAAATTACGTTATCCAGCTTATGTCTAAATTATCTACGTCTATCTGGACAAATGAATAGATTTATTAAATTTTTTTATATTTTTTATAAATTTTATTTTAATAAACATAAAATAAAAATAAATTTTAAAATGGTCCAGATCTCCTTAAAAACGATGAGTATCATTGTACTCATTCCCTAATAAATACTAAAGACAACCCAAATTTAATATTAAAATTTTTCATATTAATAAATATAATATTAAAAATATTTATAAATTAATTGAAATAAACGACAGAGATTATTTTAAAGTAAAATGGCTCCCGACCAAGCACCAAACCCCATTTTACATGGTTACCAGAACTATTCATATAGAAATATTATATACTCCCTTCGTTATCAAGTATAATATTAAAAAAAAAAAAATTGAAGTTGGGCACGCATGTTAAGAAACAATTTTGTGTATAAAAAAGTATTTTATCTTTCCGATTTTACCCCCGTAGAGATATGTGGTGTTTGGGCCGACGATTAATTTACACTTTAGTTGATAATTAAATATTCTGGGAAGTTGAAATATTTCTTATATATAATGATAATAAAGGATTTTCCTAATTTGTTGCTTATATCCCCTTCAGTTTTTTTTATATACAAGTCCACTTTCAACATATTTTATCAAAAATAAAAAAATTAAAATTAATTAAATTTATTTAAAATTTAACAAGTTTCTAACATTGTCTCTATTTAATAATATATACTTTTAGTCTGTACTTCCTCTCATCAATATTTAAATGGGATAAAACGGAAAACTTGTGATAAAATTTAATGACATGAGTTTTAAATAGAACAAAAAACCATTTTCTATTTGCCTTATAAATAAAATTAAAATATAGTTAGAATATGAGCCAACCTAAATCATATGAGTTAAGTTTGGGTTCAACCCTTTTTCATATGGTTTGAAAAAATTCAAATCCAAACCAACTCTCATGGATTAGTAGGTTAAATGAGTCAACTTACCAATCCATTTAATATTTTTTTGCTTGAATTTAAAAAAAAATTACACCCAAATGATTAGTTTTAATATGATATTCCATAAAGTTGAAAAAAAATTCACATCCTAAATGTATGAGATTGATCAATTCCATCATGATTCATTTTGAATATGATGTTCTTCTGGAGTTGTGGTGCTAAAACTCCATCCATTTGTATTCTTTAATAGTTTTTTTAAATTTTTTTAAAAATAATATAGGTTAAATAAGCCAACTCTAACTTATTAAAGTTAACCCGTCTGCTCAGAAGTTATTTAGCTAGTTTAGGCTAGAATAGATCTGTTTTAATCTGGGTTAATTTTTTCTAACCCAACTCAATCCTTTAATAGGTTATTGGGGTAGCTCATATTTCTATTTCATGTAAAGGAAGTATTTGATAATGGAGGGAGTAGATGCTTCAATAGGAATTGAAAAATCATGTGCGTGTGTGCGTGTGTATGTAGAGAGAGAGAGAGAGAGAGAGCAATTGTAAATTACCTTATTGACCATATCCACAAGGACATTCCCAATGATATTTGCATTAGCTTCAAATCTGTTCTTAGAATTTGGAGGGATACTGGGAATGAGAAAAGTGACGATACCTCCAGGAACAAGCTCTAGAGCTCTTGAATTCAAGACGCTTTCAATGTCACTTTCAAATTGTGCAGAATAAGCCTCTATAACTTTCTTGTCTTCACTCGTGAAGTAAATTTTGCCTTTATTATAAGCAGGAGAGTTCTTGTCAACTATATCTTGAGGCACCTTCGAGAGCCAATGAAGAGCATAAGATGAGTTGAAGACATGAATGCTTGATTCTGGAAACAATCTTCCATGAAACGAACCAGGCACAGCGGCTGCATAGTATTGCTTATCCTCAGGAAGAGACTTCAAAAGCGTGTTGAAGTCATTACCAGCATGATCATTGAAGAATACTTGAAATTCAAGTGATGAATCTAAACCATGTTCTTCAGATTGAAGCTTGAGGTTCACCGAGTCTATAATGTTTTGGACAGTGAAGAATGTGTTAGGTCCAACTGAACAACCCAAATCTGCTATACGAAAAACATTATTAGATGAATTCTGCAGAAGTGTTTCCAGATCAAGCTTCTCAAGAATGGCTTCTTTGATAATATCTTTAGTAATATTCGCTCCTGTTCGCTGCAAAACAAGGATTAAATAGCTTCAAACTTCGTGTAAATAAGAATATAAAAGGTCAATTCTGGTTCTTGGTAACACTGGCTAGGTAGGAACCTGATGGTTGGAATTTTGAGCATAGCTATCTTGGCCTTGTCCACCCTTCATTGGGAATGCTTTAGAAGAGTTGTTGTCTCTTTCGCTTGCCATATTTGTGAATTTTTTGAGCGTTCTTCAGTGACACACGTGTTTGATGAACATTATGCTCTCTCTGATATCTATATATATATATACACACATCATAAATAGGATTTGGATCTATCTTAAGCCCCTTCACTCAATAAGTGTCCTTATATTGCAAGATTACAACCATTTGATAGCTATAAAAGATTTTATCATATAATACTAAAAAAATATATCAAATCTCATATTTTGAGAGAACAACTCATATGAAGAGCGTTTTAATTGTAAGAAGTGTTTTAAATTTTTGGATATAAATATATCTTGTTAATTTTCAAGTATTGATGAAATTTAATGGTCGTAATAGAGATACTTATTGAATGAGTGGACTTAAGTCACTCACTGAATCCAAATCCTAGGTCACTCACTGAATCCAAATCCCCTTAAATAAAGTTATATCTACTTCGTTCATTGTTCATTATTATAATGTTGCGTGAGATTTTGAGAAGAAGATTCTGGAGCTTAATTAAGCAAGCATATGATCACACTGATGTACAATTAATAATATATTTATGTAAAATTCAAATTAATATGTCTGCTATATGAGGCCAAATGATCGGGTCTGATTCAGGAGAGTGAGCGAGCATGTACATAGTATATATTATTTAAATATCTACTGTGAATGAAATAAGTTATCGTGTATAAGTTAAACAAGTGGTTTGTAATTCAATTCATATAATCTTTGTGTATAAACAAATCTAGTTGTGATAAATTTATCCTTGTTCACCCCATACCTTAAGAGAACTTAATTAGTTTTTTTTGCGGGCATAAGATACTTCTCGTCTAAAAAAAAATTCTACTGAAATTATTATTTTCCTCATTAAGTATTCAGATATGGAAGATTACATTTTTTTTTAATTCAAAAATTTTCCTTATTAATTGTTCATATATGAAAGAAAATTTCCTTGATCCTTTTCTGTAATTTTTTTGTACTTGTCTGTAATTTTGAGACTTCTTTGTGTATTTTTGGTCCTTTTAATGTCATTTTTTATAATTTTCTGGTTAACTAATATTTAAAGTTAATATTTGTTAATGGTATAAGTGATATTGCATTGTTTTCAAAAGTTGAAGGATAATATTACATCAAAAATGATATTAGGGTCATATATGAACCTATAATTTAATAAAATTTCCCTCTAATTAATTTAAAATTACAAAGAAATTATAATAAGAAATCAAATTTAAATCATCCAAATCCAAATCTTCATTTCCAAACACAACATAAAAGAACTTTAGAATCTTTTTTGCAGGTAGAAGATCCGTCTAGCCTAGTATCAAAAAAAAAATCTACTTAAGTTATTTTTCTCATTAAACTTCATATATGAAATATTAGATTTTTTAATTCAAAATAATGTGTTTAAGTCTACTTTGGTCAAAATTTTCCTCGAATTCTGCCAAATGAATATCAACATGAATACTATGTATATGTAAAGTACTCGTTTATGATTTTATTTATAAGACCATCCACATTGATCTTTATAATATTATAAGGCCATTTACCAAATTTAATGAAATATTTATATTATTTTCAAAAATACTCTTATATTTTTCCTCTTATCTTAAATAATGGTTTAAATTTGATGAAGGTTAGTTTAGCGAATTGCAAAATTTTCTTAAATTTAATTAATTTTGACTAATTTCTTTACTTACAAGAAATTACTTAACCAGGTCTTCTAAAAAGGATCCCATGATGTGTACAACAATTCGTATTATTTATAAATCTTAAAGAATAATTTATTGTTGACGTCCCCCCGGGCCAAAAAAAAAAACATCGTGAAACATTCAAAATCTAGAATCAAAAAACTTATGTCTTGTTTGGTACATAGAAAATTTTTTATGAAAGTGAAGTGGAAGAGGAAGAGAGAGTAAATGAACGTCTTCGTTGAAGAAGATGAAGAACATATTAGGATGATGGCAAAACAGCTGCATTGGATGCTAGAGATGGTGACTTTGAGATGCCATGGAGGGTAAAGGAAGTGCAAGGGTAAAATAGTCACAAGGGTCATTGGTTATGACAGAACTGTGTTGCATGGGTAGGAAGGTAGAAGTGATCAGTTCCACCAATTTATTGATGGAACTAGATTTTCTAGAAAAGTGAGATCTCTATTATATCAAATAATTTATTTTTTCACTCCCACTCCCACTTCTTCAATTTCAATTCCATGCTACCAAGCAAGACTTTATCAACAAATGAAAAAAAATTTAAAAAATACAATATTTCCTCGATTTTTCTTGTGTCTTATGTATAGGAATTTAGAAGACATGTGAAGCATGAACCTTGCTTAATATAAGCTGAATTCTCATGGTACTAAATTTCGCCATTGCAAACCTTCTAATAAATTAATTAATGTATTAGTCAAAGATATGTTTGATTACCAAGTGACATGTTCCAAGTCAAAACGAGTGTGAAACTTTTCAAAATCTAGGAAACCTGGGATGACGGATCCACAAAATGACAAATATGAATATATATATATATATAGAGAGAGAGAGAGAGGGGGGGGGGAGAGGTGGGCTATATTACACTCCCTCCATTTCAAATTATAGAAAACTTTTGGACAAAATTTTACATACTAATAAACCTCATTAAATACACTTAACAACCTTATTTTTTTAAAATAAAAATATAAACTTTTAAAAATACCTATAATTTAATACATTGAAAAGAGAATGAACAAAAATTAATTATAGAGAGAGAAATGATAATATTAAAAATGGTACATTTAATGAAACCTTAATTTACTCAAAATGTCTTATATTTTATGATGAAATTTTTTTTCAAAAGTATATTATAATTTGAGGCGGAGGGAGTATATAATTTCTTTAAAGTTTGAATATAACTTTGTAGACTGTAAAAGCAGACAATAAACTCCTTGAAACTTTTCGTTTATACAAATAACAGTAATTCCTATACAATTAATTTGTCTATTGTTTTACTAAAATAATATAATATATGACAGAAAATTTATTTGTACATGAGTTAAAATTCAATGCAGCTATCTATAAAATTTTCTAATATGCCATTTGTTAATTATTTCATAATTAATTCTCTCTATTATTCCTTGATTAAAGTTAGTGCAGATATATATAAGTATGATTGAAAAAAAAAATTAATGATATGTTGAACCTTAAAAGTGACAAATAAATTTAAACAAAAAATTCTTAAAATTGATAGTTAATTACATGTTATAGAATGATATAGATTCATCCTGATGTCAAGTATATAATAATAAAACCTCAAGATTAAAAATTTAACAAATTATTTTATTAATAATTTCTACTTGTAAAGTAACACTCAGGAAGTTTTACCCCAAAAAAAAAATAGTAACACTCAGGATGAGAAAGAAGTTTATGAAGAACAAGTTAATGGAGTTAAAGTATATAGGTAACAAGCAAACTTGAATTTCATTAATGAATGAATTGTTGTGGTTTCAAGTTTCAACATTAACCACTACTTGGTTGGAAGATGGAAAATTTTTTATTTTTTAAAATTGTTTTAATATATTTTAGAGAAAACTAGAACAATGATGACACCGGGTGATTGATTATACTGGATATCGATTTTCAAATTTAAAGAGGCACGCAAATGAAGGAATATTGCAATATAATTGTGGAAGGTGATATTGTTTTGAAAATATATACAGATAATAATTTATTTTTGTGAAGTAAGATTTACGTATTGACAGTTAGCACATAAGAAAATACCTTTTTCATTGACTAATTAAAAAAATCTGAATTTTTTTTAAGCAAAAACTTTGAATTTTGATCATATCCAAATCCAACACTCCATGACAATCTTATCACTTGTTATTGGCTCTAGGTGGCACCAATACAATTTTCTTTTAGTGGTATAAACAAGTGTTTTTTTTAGGATACCATTTACGCTTCCGTGAAAATTTTTGGGACAAATTTATATTTTAACACTTGCTTTCTCATGGACAACCTCATGTGGTTTCTGAAACTTGTAAGATTGTAATTAGAAATTGAATTGATTATTTAACTTATGAAATTAAAGTAGTTGTTAGGAGTAGTTTAGAATACATTGGTGGCTGTAATAGTGCTAACAAAAATAAAAGTTCAGTAATAATAAATAAGATCTAAAGAACAAAGAAGAAAAATATATGAATTGTAATCTTTTAACATGAAAAATAATTATTTAAATAATTTAAAATTTGATAATCATTAGAAGATAATGACCTTAAATGATTGAATAATAAGAAATATAAAAAAAATCGATAACAATGCAATTTATATTTCCTATTTTCATAAGAACGTAGGTTTAAAATCTTACTATTAGTAGGTAAATGATATGGATCTTTGTAAGCACTATTTAAATCGTGAGGCTAGCTCGATCTAACCCTAATAAACTTTTTTCATACCTAATTCGTTTAAATATTATTTTTTGGTAATAAAAAAATAAGAACCAAAAAGAATAGAAGAAACTAGTGGATGATCATGAAACATCATCATCCCATAATGGAGTAAGGCTTTAAAGAAGTGTACACATAGTTAGGAGTAGTTGGAAAGGGACCAATAGTTGCAATTGGTTAATTGGAGTGAAAAACTTTTAATTATTTGTCCATTTATTTTACTTTTCAATAAATATGACAAGAATATTAGAGAAGCGGTTCGCCGATTGTTCGGTCTTAGGTCGCATCAAAATCTTATTTATAACTTATACATGATTATAATTGGTTTTTCTTTTAATTATTGATACCATTTGCTTTAATTATGTTTTTGTGTTGTAAATTAGGGGCTCTAGCAGATATAGTTCTCGTTATATAAAACCAAACTAAGCAAACAACTTAGAGTCCATTTGATTTTCTTTCATTTTACATTCAGAAAGTAAAATTTTACTTTTAAAAAGTTAAAGGTTATTTAAGTAAAATATTTTATAGGAAATCACATCTTAAAAGTACATTTAAACAGTAGTTGAAAATAAATTTCTAAAACATAATTATTTGAAACTTTTAAAAAATAAATTTAAAAATTAGGATGTTATTTGATCATACTACTCCAAGTTTAATCTCTTGTTCTTTTATTTAAAAATAGTTAATTTATTAAAAATATAATTATTATTTCAATAATAATAATTAGGTATCAATTTTTTAGCATTATAAATTAAATAATTAATCATGCTAATTTTTAGGATTAATGTATAATAAAAATTACAAATCTTTATCACATTTTCTAAAATTATAAATTAAAAAAATACAAATAATTAGAGATCAAATTTTTAGCATTATAGATCAAAATTTATGTTATTTAAAATCTTAATCAAATTTTTTTAAATATTTTAAATATATTATATTTGTATAATAAAAATAATAAATTATCATAAATCAATGTTCATTTTAATAATTATACATTTAAAATTACATTTTACTATCACAAAGCAAATAATTTTCAGTGTATCAAATTAACTTTTAAAAAAATATATCCAAACATAAATTTTATTACAATAACTGACTTTTATTAAATTGATTTTTATCAAATAAATTTTTGACAAACTGAAAATCAAATACACACTTAATATTTATTATATTCATTTTTCAATTCATATATATAGCAATATATATTCATGGGAAATCTTCACATATTTGTGACCATATGACAAATTCGAATGAAGTACATGCTCGCAAGGAATCCTCACCGATAAGTTTACGTCAGAATTTCTCACAGATCAAATATTCTTGAGAAATTCTCATGTTCAAACTCACATACAAGGACGCTGCTTAATTATACTAAATAGAAGTTGCGCTTAATGATAGATAATTCAGACATGGGCTTGTAATTTATGAAGGAGCTGTAAGATTCTGTCAATTTCTTCTCAAACTGTATAAAGATCAGATCCACAAGCTCTTCTCCAAAGTGTTGCTTGAAAAGCCCTTTCCACACAGCTCTTACGTGCATGCAAAATCCATGCACGTCTTGCTGACGTGTGCTTATAATAACACTATTAACTGATAGTACTGAATCTAACACTTGATCATCAATTTCAAAATTCCCATTCTTCTCAATCACTTCTTTTACCTCTTCTGATGTTGGCATGTAGATAGGCAAGTTGAAGGAATGCACCAGTTCATCGCTGATCATGCCCTAGATTTTGCAGAATATAATTAAGTAAACTAACTTATTATTCACTTTAAATCTGAAAATAATAGGACGCATTCAAATCCTCTAATTATAATAATAAGTAGATTTAATTTATAATTAGTTTACAGCTCACTTGTTTGAGCCTTTCGTTGGAAAAAAAATTATTTTTAAAGAAATATACGATATTTTATTTAAAATTTTAAAAATAATCCAATTTGGAAAATAAAAAGGGAAATTTTTATTATTATTTTAAAAATTACCTTGATTAGGTTTTAAAAATAATCAAATGCAATAGATAAGAGTAAATTATCATAAAAATACAGAGATCCATGCAAATATTATAAAATTTGAAAATTTCTAGATAAAAAAATCATTGTTTTTTTATAAATGGAGATAGAGGAGATATTATAAAATATGAAAATCACCAAATAATAAATCATTTTTTATGATTGTAACCGAATGCAAAATGAATTCTACTTTTTATAATTTTTTTCATGATAAATCCCTTTTTATAAAATCTTTAAATTCTATTTCGCTAATCTATCAAAATATGTAATACATGCCGTGAATTATAAAAAGTCAAGTAGAGAGGCTAATTACATGTTGTTACTTACCTTACAGACCATCTCCAAAAGAATATCTTCCATAAGTTTTGCAATATCTTCAAATCTGTTAACAGAATTTGGTGAAACACATGGAATGATAAGAATCATGATCCCTCCAGGAACAAGTTCTAAGGCTTTGCAATTCAAGAAACTTTCAATGTCTTTTGCAAATTGTGCAGAATAAGCCTCTGCAACTTCCTTATCCTCACTTGCAAAGTAAATTCTGCCTTTATTATAAGCATGAGAGTTCTTGTCAATTATGTCTTTAGGTACTCTCGAGAGCCAATGAAGAGCATAAGATGAGTTGAAGACAATAATGCTTGATTCTGGAAACAATCTGGCATGGAATGAACCAGGTGTTGCAGCAGCATAGTATTGTTTCTCCTCAGGAATAGACTTGAAAAGTGTGTTGAAATCATTGCCAACATGATCATTGGAGAACACTTGAAATTCAAGAGGTTTTGATGAACCAGCATGCCCTAATTGAACATGAGATTGTAGTTTAAGGGTTGTCGTCACAACGTCGATTATGTTTTGAACAGTGAAAAATGTGTTAGGTCCAACTGAACAACCCAAATCTGCTATACGAAAAACATTAGAGGAATGCCGCAAAAGTATTTCGAGGTCAAGCTTCTCGAAAATGGCTTTGACGGTATTTTTTATTATATCTGCTGCTCTACGCTGCCACACAAGGTTTAAACTTTAAACTTTACACAAAGCGCGCAAGTCATCAATATCAAAATATATCAACATATCAACATGTATGATAAAATCTATAAAAAGCTATCATACTATTTATAAATTATGAACGTTGCACTTTATCTCAATCTAACTTCATACGTGCAATACAAAGAATAACAGGTTTAATTATCAGGTAATTAGAAAGAATTACAATTCGGTCCCAACACTACTATAAAAAGAGATTTACATGAAGGATTCTTTTTAGTCTATGGGAGCACTTCAAAAACTCTCCCTATTCAGGCACCCCCAGTGTGTATGAGAGCACTTCCAAAGTGCTCATATACAAATTATACAAGAAAAATTATGTATAGATTTTGTGGATTTTACTTATTTACAAAAAAGTTGTGCGAAATTCAAAAACTACAATCACATCTCTTGGAAGACTTAAATGCAATTTGAAATTTATGTGTAAAGACAACAATACCCCTACTAGGAATACATTATATCAATCAAGTAATTTACAACTATTTTATCAATAATTTACAACAATCATTTCAACTTTTTTTCAAATATAACTTCACATATGTAATGATTAAACTGATTGAACATTACAATAAGTTTAATATTAATTGTACATAACTTTTTCATCAGTAATTTACAAACATCACTTCAACATTTTAGAATTATAACATCACATATCTAATAGTTAAACCGATCATGCATTATTAAAAAAGTTAAAATAATTGTTTACAACCATCTTATTAGTACAATTATTACTTTAATATTTTACAACCGTCATGCATTACAATTGTGATTTTACATATTCAATAATTAAACTAATCATGCATTACAAATAAGGTTATTATTATCTTTGCACTTTAATTTCACATGACACTTAGGTCCCAAGGGACCTAGTTATGATTTCTAAATTTTATGAGACTTAATTATAAATAAATATATTTCACATAACTTGTATGTAATTTTTCCAGTGATATAATTGCTATTTTATGAGTAGCGTGGGCTACAAGTTTTAAGTTATTGCAGAAGATTATAATATTAAATGCCTATGGGAGCCCTTATTGGTATAGGTGCTCCCATAGCTAGAAACTTCCTTTGCTAAATAAGCGCTTTGAAAAGGTTCGCCTCAATTTTTAGATGTTTTTAACATATAAGAGCTCTGATAAGGGTACCCCCATAAGTTTTTTTTTTTCTTTTAGTAACACAGATAAGGAAATTAGCTATTTTTTCAATCTATTTATAATTCAAGCTTCTATATTTAGATGTTAAATTTTAATATTTATATTGACGGGATTTGTAATTAGCAGTTTCCTCATTTATCTGAAACCTATATGTAATTCTATCCAGGAATTGCCACAAAAGAAAATTAATAACGTAAAGAATTGGATTGGGAATGAAGAACCTGCATGGTGGAATTTTGAGCGTAGCTATACTCCCCATTCCCACCATTCATTGGCACAGCTTCATAGGATTGGGTGCCTCTTTTTCTTTCCATCTTTGTGCTCTTTGTTCTTCAAAAACATGTATCTCACCAACATATTGTCTATATGGCTATATATACAAGGTGTGTAGACTAGGGAATATATTTTGGATAATTGTTTTTCATCGATTCCGATCGACACAAAAATGAACAAAATAATATCATAAAAAAAATTAGTATATTAACTGTATTCATCGACCTCAGGCAACTCGATCTTAACCCTATAATGCTTTTTGTCTTCCATATGTAAAACTAGGAGTATTTCATATAAGCTGTATGAGCATGGTGAAGAATATGTATGTACCATTGAAGGTGCAGGTTAAACTTTGAATTTTATAATGTCTCCATTTTCAAGGAAGAAAAAACAATTAGGACAAGCTACATACAATGGATCATGCGTAAATTATTCAGACAGATATATCCAGAAGAAAGTGATAAAAGCAAGCCAAATATGATGGACACAGAGATAAATACAAGCACAAATTAACTACATCTGCCGGCCAGCAAGAACAAGAAAGATATTACGAACTATTATTTTTTTCTTGCATACAAAATTTCAAGCGATCAGTTAGATTGAAAAACATGCCTCTAAAATTATAGAGTGCCAGCAAATAAATTTACAATCACTATAAAAAATATCATTACATTGGCAATGAGATTTGATATTATCTTATAGATTATATGTTAAATTCATATAACCTAGATTAACTTTTGTTGGCTAAAGAACCATTATGTTGTTACGGTAATGCCCCGTGATGGGTCTGATTTATACATTGTTTCTGATATGATTTAGCTCTCAATTTGAAGTAATTATGTTATAAAAATAGTTGGAAAATAGAATATATACTGCCTCACTTAGCACTTTATGTGTTTTGCAGAGAAAGAGAGTCGAAAAGGACCAAAAACTCACTAAAGAATGAAAAAAATAATCACGCCTCTTGTTATGTCCAGTCACAGATGAGGAAAAGCTGAGAAGGCTGGTACATGCTTTGACTGCAAGTGGATATAAGTACAAGGGACATGACCGCAAGTGAATGAAAGGTTAGTACACTTCGATCATGCAAATGAAATTACAAGGGCACGACTGCAAGTGAATATGAAAGGTTGGTACGCTTCGACTGCGAGGGAATGAAATTACAAAGTACATGATCACGAGCAAATGAAAGGTTGGTATGCTTCACTAGCGGGCAGATGAAATTGCAAAGGACATGACTGTGGGTGAATTATTGAAAGGTTGGTACTCTTCGACCACGAGCAGATGAAATTACAAAGGACATGACTGCGAGTGAATGAAAGGTTGGTATGCTTTGATCGCAGACAGATGAAGTTACAAAGGACACGACCACGAGCGGATGAAAAACCAAAGACTCATGGCAGCCGTAAAAATAGTCCTAATTAGGTTTTTAGGCTACAAAAGTTATGTAAGAAACCTTGAGGAGCCTAATTTATATCATACAATTTCATATATGAGAGCTAGGCGTTAAAGCATAGAGTCTGGAGGAATTTTTCTGAGTTGGAAGTTTTTTCTTTTCTCTATTTCTCTTATTTCATTTATTTTTTCTATTGGGATGTTTTGCAATAACTTTATGAGATCTTTCTAAACTTCTAATTAGGATAGGGAGTAACTTGGTTGAGATGGATATTTTTTTTAAATTTAATTTATTTATTTTTTCTATCTATGAGTTTTTGTCAATAAAAATTTATGTTTATGTTTATATTGATCTCTCTTGATTTATTTATCTTATTATATAGATGATCACTATATAATATGTTTATGGGTAGTTTGATGAATTGAGAAGTAAAGAACTTACCAAAAGTTAGAGAGATAGAGTAGATAATTGAATTTAAGAATAATTTAGGATCTATTGTGGCTTAAATCATAACTTTATGATCTAAATCGTAGCTAATTCAATATTAGTTAGACACATTGTAATATACTGGAAAGGTAATTATGATATTGTTAGAAACTATTGATAAATAAAGAGAAAATTAATAACCAAATTAGAGTAAGCCATCACAATAGATGAATCATAATCCTTAATGCTTATTTGATTGATTTGGTTCATCACTTTTTATCTTTACTCATATTTTGTGTTATTGATTAAATATTAAATCTCTTTTGTAAAAACTATAATTTGTTTTTATAAATAATAAAGTTAACTGTTTTTTTCTATGTTCGACTCTTGAAATACTTTGAGATTTTATAACGACATCAATCTCATATACTTGCAACAACAATTACCCTATATAAATTGGATTAACTATACAGCTTTTTAATGATATTTTAAATTTTAAATTTAAAATTCTTTTTATGTGTATATGTTAGGAAAATTACGTTTATCCCTATGATGTTTAACTCTAATGACAATATTATTTTCCTAATCCAAAAACTTAATTCAACCCCCTTGACAGCCCCATTAAAATAATTATCTCACTACCCTCCCTCCATATCCTAGAAAACTACCATAGCCGGCCCATATGCTAACACTTTTAGTCAATATTTGGGCCTGCAAACCCTTCTGCCTTTTAAACCAAACAAATCGACAAAGCACAAAACTATTAATTATGAAGTTCCTTAATTTATAATTAATTTGGACTCAAGCTTTTGTTGCACCTAAACTGGATGGAGCTCTTTCAAAAACATTACATATGCGTGTGTGAGATGTGAATTCAAACCCAAGTCATCATACTTTTTTTTCTTTTTTGCTATAAAAGAAATGCATAGACATATGGATGATCCAATTCCTAGTTCTCAAGTCTCAATGTTTCTAGTTCCTTCTAATCTTTTTAAGTTCGTGCGAACAATTTCATATTAATAATATAATATAAATGAAAGACTTGAAAGCTTTAAAATTTTCTGTTGATGTTTTGGAAGGAAAAAGTTTATAAAAGTGATTAAAAATATAAACTCTATATGCATAGATTTAGAAACTAGACATCTTTCTAGTTTCTAAGATGAGCACATTTATAATTATAATTATACAACTAAACAATAAAAATTATTATAAGTTTCATATATGGGTATATTCATATAATGATATTAATATCAAAATAAAAAAGAAAAATATATACATAGTAAATACAACCTTATGCTCTAAGTCCACTTTTTTTTTTTTCCTGCCAACCTTCTAGATTCATACAGGAGAACTTAGATAATTTTTCATATTTATTTTTATTTGAATTTTATTTTGTTTGATAAAGTATAAATTTCTTTAAAAACTAAAAAAGTCAAATAATATATACAGTCACAAAGTGTCTCATACCCTTATTGTCATAAGTGTTAAGATGTCTTCCTAAATCCAGCTTAATTTATACGTAAGTATTGGATCTGAAACCTAATATAAACGTTCTTTGATATTTCTTAGGAATATTAATTAAAATAAAAAACTCAGAAATGCAGTTTTTGAAATATTGTAAAATATTTTTTTAAAAAAATAGAATTGCAGTTTAATGAACATGTGGAAAAGGTTAAAAATAAGTAGGAAAATTATATAGAGGCGAAGAGAAATACAAAATGAAAATGTGTGTTTTCTGGATAGTGCAATAGCATAGCTCAAAAATCTGTTAAGCCCAACTCTTTCTCCTTCTCTTTGCATCATTTCTCGTTCTTCTTTCATCAACGTCTGGAATCCGATTGCAAACCGAGGATTCTGACGTCTTACAGCAGGTTCGAGCAGGTGCGGTGTCCACTGCCGATCTCCTCTCCGACGATGACCGCTCCGTCGCTGCTGATTCTTGGTCCATCAAGAGTGAGTATGGCAGCAGCATCCTTGACGATGACCAGCGCCATGCCGACGCCGCTGAAGATCTTTCCAACGCTAACTTACCAGCCGCCTCGGATTACAGGTCACATTGTGCTCACTCTTCTGCGTCTTCTTGTGTGGTTTCTTGGCTTTTCGTTTGGCTTGCTGTGAAGTAGGAATGAATCAGGTGACAGATTGGATTATTCTAACGAATTCAAATTACTTTTTGGGGGAGCGAAACTAGAGTTAATTCGTGATTTTTAGTTGCCTATCCATTTCCTTGTATCTTTTAAAGGACGACAGGTTTGTGAAGTGACAGTTATAAACCGGCACTGAGCAAAGTTGAGCTTGTTGACTATGATCCATGTTGTATGTTGACTAGTATTTTACTGACTATCAGACTATGTGTATCAATATATAAACACACACACACACACGATTAGTAAGTTCTGACTCCTCACTACATTCGATTTTTGGAGGAGATCACTCTTACTTCTTGATTTACCTATTGCTCATTGATCCTTGAATCACTCTGTCGTGTTCAGTTCGGACAAAGATGAACTTGATGCTGAGCCAGTAACATCAATGCTAGGATTTCAGAGTTATTGGGATTCTGCATACGCAGATGAGCTTGCCAATTTTCGGGAACATGGCCATGCCGGAGAAGTTTGGTAAATAAATTTTGACTGCATATTACGCTTCACTTATCTATATGAATTTTGATGGGTACTCAAGTGGCATGGGAACCCTATCCCTCTTAAATTATTGAGGTGGGAGAACCAACTCACTTAAGTGTCCCATAGAGCACTTCATACTACTCAATGTTGGGCTTTGGAGTCCCTTGGTACCTTTAGCAGTCTCGATCAAAGACTTCACTGCATTTGATCAATGCGTCGTCTGAACATACATCTGAAATTAAGGGTGCTCATAGCAAACACTTTGAGAAAAGCATGAATTTGATGCCCATATTCCACCTGAAAAAGTAGGATGAATGGTCTAAAATTGTAACACGTGAATAAGAAAATGAGAGTCTGGATACCTTCTTAATTCAAGATTAACAGGAAATTTTATTTTTGGGAGTAGAGATTATGAACTCAGAAATTTTTACAAGATGTTAGTACATAGGAATTCTTAAAGTTTATAATAAACAGATTAATTACGCCGTTTCCTTTTGGCAACTTATCTTTTTTAATTTAAGAAATGATTATCCTCACGTATTGTGTAGGTTTGGAGCTGATGTGATGGAAACAGTTGCATCTTGGACAAAAAACTTATGCATTAACATTTCTCAAGGTCACATGCTGAATCATGCTCACAATGTCAGGGCTGAGCCTGCTGAACAAGGAAATCAGCATTTGGCTAGTTGGAGTGTACTTGACATTGGGACTGGAAATGGGCTGCTTCTCCAAGAATTAGCTAAGCAAGGGTAATGTTTATCTCATTCGCATATGTTGGTGTTACCATGGTATGAGCAGTATTAATTTGAAGCTATAAACAAAGCAGCATGATCTGATGTCATGTGACCTGTGATGGAGGTGGCTTGCATTTGCAAAAGCTTTGTTTCACTTAAACTGTCTGAAATCATGCCATCTGCTATTTATTTTGGAAGTAGGGTTCTAAGTCTAACATGCAATGTTCTAGGAAACAAGTTATTTTTTATTTTTAGTGTTTGCAGTATGCATATAATGGATGATGATCTGCATGGTACTAAGTAGCTAAGTCTGCATATTTCAGTTTCCTATCCCATCAAGCTAGAACAATCTTAGTTGGAACCTTTTAACTATCTATCACGGTATATTACCTGGCCTCCTTAGGTGTTCTATATCTTAGTTGCCTTCATAGAGAAGAGGCATGAAACTCTTAAATCTAAAATCCCTTGCCTGAGGTACAAAGCAATCTTAGTATTACTATAGATTGAAGTTATTACTGTTTCTGCATTTCAATTTTGTATACGTTTCTTCCCAGAGGAAGCTATTATTGTTTTAAGTCCTATGCTGAAGTGTGTCCAGGATTCTTGTAATTCCTCCTAATTATAGATTATAATAAAACTACTTATGGGCCTTAACTTAATTGCCAAGGTTGAGTGAAAATGGGCCCTTGGCATGCTTTTGAGAAGCTCTATAACCAAGTGGTTATAAGAGTAATCCTATCTGCCCTCTATTGTCTTAATCATAATTGAGAAGTAAAACCCTGTTTGGTCCCATGCAGATGATGTATTTCTCACTTCTTGTTTCGGTCGCTTATGCGTATTTCTCAATTGGATTTCCCACGAATAAAACTTTATATAATGTCCCATATGTGGGGACCACTATTAGTGACAATTTTATTTGTGAAAGACTAAATGAGGAATGCTCATATGAAGGACCGAATTGAGAAGGCAATTCTATGAGAGACTAAATTGAGAAATACTTCATGTGTGAAGACCAAAGTAGGGTTTACTCTGAAATTGAGTTTCAACATATGGTAGGCTTATCTTTTGTCCTCCCCCCCCCCCCTTTCAAGCACGAGGGATTTTCATCTGAGAGGATGTGTATCTTCACTGATACACACTCACACAGAAAACTAAAACATAAAATCTTCAGAAAGGGAGCCTGTAAACATATAGATTGTTTCATATTTTCTTGATAATGAAACTAGGTCCAGTTTTTTTTTCCATGAAATTTGTGCATTGTTTTTGGGGTGATATTGCCATAATTGCGTAAGTTTAGTATATAGGAATAATGAATGCCTAAACAAACCCCTCGCATCTATGGGTTCAGGTTCTCTGATTTAACTGGCACAGACTATAGTGAAGGGGCCATCAGGCTTGCTCAAAGTCTTGCTAATCGTGATGGATTTTCCAGCATTAAGTTTTTGGTATGACCAAAACTTCAAGATATTATGGAATATGGATTGTTTTGTGTTTATTTGTGTGCGCTTTTGCATGTGCATGTGTTCATAATTTTGTTTTTATGTTTATTGTTTTGTATTCTAATAATGATCGTGTAGAAATTCATCCTTTTTCTTCTGAGATTATTTCTTTAGATAGAAACAACACTATGTAGACAATAAAAGGAAGAGCAAACCCTTCAATTGAAATACATGAATCTATAGAATAAGATAACCACCTAATAAAAAATAGATTAGATGTATGCTAATTGAAACCAAACATCTAACCTATTGAATAGAACAATAGGAATCAAAAGTATAATTTTCCCAAATATAAACCATCTCCAGTTTCCTTGAAGCCTAACTGTGTTTTGATATTCCTTGATTTTGTCTTAACTGCTCCTAATCTCTTCATTTGTGAGGAAGATCAGAGGAAGATCTCCCAAGTGGAAATCAACGTGACAATTGGCAGTGCCTTCCAGATTTTCTTGTACTGTTTCCATTTGAATCCACTTCTTTGTTTTATTGGGGAGGGATCTATATAGATGGTAAACTAATATAATTTGTTATCAGCAGCAGCAGCAACAAATCTTGTCCTACTAGGTATAGCATAAAAAATACATGGATGGAGTAGAAGTTTGGACGTAACCTCTACCAAAAACCATGGGCAAATACAATCCTCATTGAATAATTGCACTTGGGTGGAATGATGAACAAGAGGAGAAAGAATTTTAGGTCAACTTAAACTGGGAATCTGGGACCAAATATGTTTCAGGCAGAATTCTTTCCTTGTATAGTTGTATTGCCTTTTCCACTTTTAAACTAAACTTTGGGGCCCAAAGGAATGATTGCTACTCCACATTGAATCTTTCTTCCTAATAACCTCGAGAGAACCAATTTATGTTGTGAGATTAGATTTGAGTATAACTATTTTCTGTTTTTTGGGCCAACTTGAGTGTGTTTGACTGACTAAATGCTGTAAAATTATCATTGCTGCAAAAATGGTTTCTTGTGGATGATTTTTTTTTTTTTTTTTTTGAGGATTTTATGAAATGTAAAACTGATGGCCAGAATCTTAAAATCATTTCACAAGTCTGACTGCTGAACTTGTTTGGAGTAATTCTACAATTTTCTAGCAATGTACTGAAAGCAACTTGAAATTCTTGTTGACACATTGTTCTTAGGCGGGCCAACAATTTTTTCATGAATACAGGTTTCTGTTATGTGATGATATTTGACTTTCATTCAAATTATTAAAGTCATATTATACAGCTAGAATATCTAGAGTTTTGGCTTTCTATTTTTTCCTTAGCATCTCATTCTTGTATGCAAGTTGTAAAAATACGTTCATTTTGACATGTCTAATATAAATTATATTGATTTTAATTTTAATTTCAAGGTTGATGACGTCCTTGAGACAAAGTTAAGACAAAAGTATCAACTTGTCTTGGATAAAGGGACTCTAGACGCTATTGGATTGCATCCTGATGGTCCTGTCAAGAGGTGAGAAAGCCATGTCCGGAAGTTCTATTGGGGTATTGTTATTAACCTATTATATAAAACAACGTAAGAGTATTTCTTCCTGGCTTCAGTTCAAATCATATTTGCAGCTTGTTTCCTTAATACAACATATTAGATGAACGGCAATTGGTTTGTTTCTAATTGATCTATTTTCTGCTTAATTATCTCCTTGCATGGTCCTGACAAATTATGATATCGATTTCTAATTTCCAGAATGATGTATTGGGATTCCGTGTCAAAATTGGTCGCTCCTGGTGGATTACTCATAAGCACCACAAGTTTGTTTCGTGTTGATTTTTGAATTTTTGTCCTCGTTTCAATATTTATAGCAAATTGTTGGGGCTTATGAACTAGCCTCTTTCAAAGTAGGATTCCTTGTTTTTCATTTTTAAAGTCACAATTATTTATATTTTTTCTCCAGCTTGCTTTCTAGAAAGCTCCACTGTTTTCATGACATAGACGCAAACGCAACTCTGCTACTTCATGATGTTTAACTCCTTGACATTACACCTTTTCTGTTTCTTGTTACTTTTGAAGGTGATCACATCATGTAACAGTACAATGGATGAGTTGGTGCAGGAAGTGGAAAGTTTTAACCAAAGAGTTTCTAATGCACAAGAACTCGAGACATTAAATGACCGAGAATCATGCAGGGAGCATCCATTTCGATATCTAAATCACGGCCGTTCATACCCAACATTCACGTTTGGCGGATCTGTTGGTTCCCGTGTGGCCACTGTGGCGTTCCTCAGGAACTGAAAGAATCTTACATGTCACGGTTAGGATTTTGGTTACATGTGTTTATCTTCCTGGTAGTGCGCGCGCGTGGCTTGGAGGATGATCCTAGTTTTTCATGTTTTGTTTTGGACAATGATTTGTCCTAGTGACCTTAGGAGAGTTCTTGTCAAGCGGGCTTTATGTACGTATGTATGTATGTATAAACTGGGTTCTCATCAGGGCAATGGTCCAATAGAAATATAGAATTGATACTCAGTGCTACCATTGTCAATACAAGAAGGGCACATGAGAATTTAATGAAGATATTTTATTATAACATTTATTCTTATGCAAGAGAAAAAGTGAAGACAATGATAGAAGTCCTACTCGCTTAATTATGAAGAATTTGGTATAAATTAGATGTTTTATAGGGATGTAATCATGTATTTAAGGAGTGACAGAAAGTGTTTGTGTATGCACAAATTTGACCTTTTCTCTCTGTATCTATGATATATATATATATATCCTATTTAGATGAATCTCGTGCTCAATTCTTAGCCGATAGAAAGTTATAAATTATCAAACAAAGACTCGGTCAATTCTTCTGATAAATTATACCACAATAATTTTCTAATATGGCTGTTTGATACCGACACTACCATTATTTAATATTTAACCAAATGAAATGATTTGCCTCATTCCACAGAATGCCAAAGCATTGTCGCTAAGCTAGGATTGAGCAGCAAACAATAATTACAACACCCAAAGTTTTATCCTTATATCCCTCCTATGAAGGTCCTCCTGAACCTCAGAATAATTACATCAACGTTAGGGTGTTAAGGGAATCCACAAAAGCATTAAAAGAGTGCCAAAACATTGCGGCAACAACAAAATATACAACTTTTCACTAATATGACAGATTATCTCACAAATCAATAGCATGAAATCAAGGATTTTATGATGGTATAGTGTAGAATTGTTGAACTAGAATCACTTTGCACACAATGCCGTAGCCGAGGCCTCTCCAATAATCAAAATTCTCTGTATGAGTCCCCAGAAGGTAATTTGATGATTTCATCAACACTCACTATATCAGTCGTCATACGAGGAGTGCGGAGCAGCCGTGCAGCCAGGGTCGAATGGGTCTTCAGACCCACAGCAGTGCCAGTACTGAAAAACTTTACCAGAATCAGGAGTATTCATGGTGCCACCTTGATACACACTCTCAAACTTCCTCTTTGTCTCTCCTGAGGGAGGGAACAGAAAGAAAAGCAAATCAGAGCCACCTTAAACCAGACAGGAAGTTATTTAAAAGAACAACAAATATTAAAGTTGCACAATTTTTCACCAGTAGTGATTGGAAGAGACTCAAAAGAAGGCATTTATATTATGTTCTGAAAACAATTAAACAGGATTTGCTTCTGCTTCAATATCAGATCCACCAGCGAACCTTTTGCACAATGGTAATATGGTTAGTGTTCTATCTAAAATCTCAACTGTCTTTGAAATCCATTTCATGAGTTGCATTTACTGATGCAGAGAATACCAATTTAAGACAGGCATTGTTAGGCACGAGTTCTGATATCTGTAGTGTTTCTTCAAATCCACGTCCATGAGTCTGATAAATGAGCCCTCGAGCTTTGTCAGCAGAGAGCAGACATAAAAATATGTTGTTAACCTGTAGCACATGCTTTCTATATTTGAGTTTCCTATCCTACATCATTAAATTTACATTAGTTTAATATCATATGCATCCAACCATATAGCTGCCCTTGGTAACAGGATAGAAACTATAGGATAATCATATTCAGAAGTTCACTCATCATTTTGCAAGCCTGAACAAGCTAAGTAACAACTAACCAACAGCCTTGATGAGAAGAATATGAAGGATACTTCTAGCTGTGTTCAGGTATCACTTACTTAATAGTTAATAGTCATGTAAGGAAGTTATTTTAAGCTTATTGTGGCCAAACATTCTGCGGCATTATTCAGCATTTTATGCATGAGTTTTTTTTTTTTTTTTTTTTTTTGCCAGAATTTTATGCATGAGTTTAATGAACATATCTCAAGGTGCTAGAACAAGGATCCCACTTCCATATTCAATGAAGCATAGACAGTCCACAGACAATTGGCATAGAATGGACATCAACTTCAAAAAATATGGAACATGACACTACAGGTGTATATTTATGCTGAAATTTCTGTTAGTGATACACCTCTAAAGAAAAAGAAAACTGGCTTCTATGTTCTAGCTATCTTACAGTATTTTTTCTAAAAAAAAAATCTAATAAATCATAAATACACATTATTTTTATTCATGTGCAATATAAAACATTAGGAAAGGAATTCAATTGCCTCGTCATGATGAGTTTTCCCTTGTTTATTCCCTTTTTTTTTTTTTTTTGACAATTCCCCTCTCTTGGGCTCAGCCATGTCTGACTCAAAACCAAGGCATATTTGTTGTGTGTCCAGGCCTCATACGGTGTGTTGAAGCCAAAATAATTTTTCCAAAGTTGATACGTCCATATGCATGTAAGAAGATTATTGATAACATGTCATTGAAGTATCAGTGTCAAGACGTGTTAGACACACAACACATCGGAAAAGAGGTATGTCTGAGGTTAAAGGTTCATATCAAATGTGACCTTCTGAATTGATGACCAAATTAAATCTCACAAAAAGAAATAGAAACAATGCTCACAACAGCCTAAAAATATTATTTCGTGATTGCAACAGATTTGATGGGGTACTCCTAGTCCTATATAAATCCATAAAGTTTGAGGTAATTTTGTGTCAGCTATGGCGAACTTATATATCTTGGATTCTGGGGAACATGGATTTAGAAAAGTCGGTCGGTTTGGAGACCTTTGAAAAAATAAACTACTGCTCTTACTCTTTTCCTTTTCACTACGTAAGTTTACCAGTTCATTAGATGAATAGAATGTTGAAATGTTTGAAGTATCCTGTACAATTATCTTACATGGGTAACAGTCACATACATGAGATTTTTTCAAAGTATAATGACTTCATGGATAAAAGTATTATGAACTACAATATAAGCATTAGAAGCCCTGACCACATTCAAGGAAATTTTGAAGCTTCAGCATATTAATTTAACGGGAGCAATTTCAACGGACTTCTAAACAAGCAAGCCCCGAAAACCAGAATTCGAACCTCGTTGCTTTCAAACATGGTAAGATCTTCTATCAATTATTTCTTCAATACAGTTTGGTTTCTCACGGATAAGAAATGAGAAAATACCAAGATATCAACACATGCAATTTTCCCAATGGCCTACAAATCCGTCAGAAAGCAAACCAATTTGATAGTGCAGCGCAGGAAACAACATTACACATAATAGCCATCATAGAAGAAAGAAACAAGAAATAAAGCGAATTCAAAGTACCTCCAAAATGGGCAGTGTGAAAACGACAAGCAAGAGGGTGATTGAGTGCAGGGTCGTATTGGGCTTTGCAATTCTTGCAAGTTCTGAGAGAACTGCTGGATTTTTCGTCCAAGCTTGAAGAGCATCGAATGGAAGGGAATTTCAGCAAGCCAATATTGGCCTTCGAGAAGGATATGCTCTTGAACAATTGCGGAGCAACAGGGAGTTCCAGATGCTGTAGAGAGCGATGAGGGGCCGATTGAGAAGAAGAAAGAGCCATGGACATGTGGATTTTGCTCAGTGGAATAACAAGTCGCGCCAGCTCCTTCTATTTTTTAATCTTATATACTTAAATTATTTATTTTCAATTTATTTTTCATTAAATCAAAATATATAATTTTTATACATTATTTATTTTATAATAAATTTTTATTATTAATATTATTAACACTTTAAAATGACTTAATTTGATTTGGTTAGAACAAAGTACATTAGGTGTATATAAAGTTAAATATATAAGCTTTTCTCTTATTTTTTATATGCCCATTGGATTGAATTAAATTCAAAATTAATCGTCAACCCTAATTGAAGATGGCTTTTTCAAAAAAAATAAAAAAATAAAAAAATGTTTACATTTACACAAACTTAAACACAGAGTCCTCATGCTTAAATAGTAATAATTTCTTACACTAGAAAAAAATATAATTAAAATTTTTTTAGTTAAAATACATAAAACTACTTGAATTTTGAAACAATTACATATAATCATCTCACTTTTAAAAGTTTAAAATTAACCCCCAGCCTTTAATTTTGTTTTTCAAAACCTTTTTATTGTTAATTATGTTATTTTTTTCATGAGGGTTAAAATGTCATTTAACTAAAAAATATTATTAAACCAAAATATTATATTGTATAACTATTTATAATAAATTTTTTATATTTTTTGAATAGTTGAGACATTGATAATAAAAAAAAGTATTATTATCACTGTATAAAATTTTAAATATTTTTGTGTATATTAGTTTTATTCATTTTTTTGTTATTAATGATGTATGATTTTATTGCTTAAAAAGATAAATTTTTATTTATTTTTTATGTTAGATTAAAGTTTAAATATTTAAATATTAGATAAATTTTAAAATTTATATAACATGATAATATTTAAAATTTTAAATATTTTAGCCATGCGCATTACATTAATCTAACATGAAAAATAAATAAAAATTTATCTTTTAAAACAATAAAATCATGCACCATTGATACAAAAAAAAAAGGATAAAACTAATATAAACATAAATATTTAAAATTTTATACAATGATAATAACATTTTTTTTTTGTTATCAATACCTCAACTATTCAAAAAATATAAAAAATTTATTATAAATAGTTATACTATATAATTTTTTTAATAACATTTTTTAGTGGAATGATATTTTAACCCTCATGAAAAAAATAACATAATTAATAATAGAAGGTTTTGAAAAATAAAATTAAAGGTTAGAAGGTTAATTTTAAACTTTAAAGGTGAGAGGGTTATATGCAATTGTTTCAAAATTCAGGGAGATCTTATGTATTTTAGCTAATCTTTTTTAATGCAAAGCCATAATATAAGTCATGCAAAAAAAAAAAACAAAAAAAAAACTAGATCAAGTTAGAGCTTAGAAAGGTCCTATGTTCAAGAGATTGATCATGTAAAATCGTTGTGTTGAACATCTCACAATTAGCGTGACAAGTGAGCCAGTTAGCACATCAATTAATTTCTCTAAACATGTGAACAAAAGTAATAATTACATCTTGCATTAATGAATCTCTAATCCTTTTTAATGTAACTGTAAAGAGGGCAATTCGGGGAGAATTTATTATGAATGAGCATTAGGATCTTTATCAAAACAATGAACACACTAATTTTAAGATAACTAATGCTTCAACAAAGTATTGGCCCTTTCAAGACACTAAAGAGTTTTGCTATCATACTTGGTTAAAATCCAATATATTTTGTGAAATCTTTTATCTTATATTAAACCACCACAAGTTGCAATCATATTAAGAATAATAGCGCCGTCGATATCTAATCTAACCTGACTAAGCTGGGACCAGAGGATGAAGATTTCTCTGTTTTGGAATCAAGTTGTTCATTCTTCCTAAATCTATCCAATTGGAAAAGTAACAATGTTATGTTGTCCAACGCAATGAATGCCATAAATGTGGAGCAAGTGTCATCGCAAGTCTTTCTGGATCCCCTATGAGACAAGTCTGCATATCTCAAATTTCGTGTCACATCAGCTTTTTTTTTTTTTGGGGGGGGGGGCAAATATGCATGGAGTTCATTATCTAATCATTTTAAAAAGACATATCCAACGTTATGTAGAACTATTTTTATTTTAAATGGAAAGACACAAAGAACCCATTATTTTAAAATAAGTTAGTGTTTACTGCCAAATACCTTAATTATTTTTCAAAATAATTTTAAATTTACAAAGTAGTTAATAAATACTCCTTGTCCTTGTATAATATTAGTAGCATGACTCTTAAGAAAACAAACATACTACATTTTAGCAGTGTTTTGAGACGCAGACTAATTCAAAAGGTCAGGCTAGTTGAGTCATCACCCAGTGAAGAAAGTGATGATTCAACCATTTAACTTGTTATAATAGTTAGTTCGGGTTAGCTCACTATAACTTGAGCTGGTTTTGAAAACTCAATGAAAATTCAAAATCCGAAATTGTTGCACCGTTTTGATCCCCTTTTTTAACTCTAATTTTAGTAATAAATTTTTTTATTAAATTTACTATTGAGTTATTTTATGATAAAATGTTGACCGCATGATTTATTTATTGATATTATATGAATGAAAGTATAAAAAAATTGAAAACTCATTTACTTTAAAATAACAAATAAGGTAAACACACACACACATGAGAAATAAGAAAATTTAAATTTAATATGTTATAATTAAAAAACTTTAAATTGATAATGATATTATCAATATTTTTAATATTTATACACACATGTATGTATGTGCATATAAATATTATTTTTTATTTAATTATTATATCATCAATTCAACAATTGATCTAATCTATTAAATAATAAAAATCATGGATCATAGTCCTTTCTTATTTATCATTTGGTCCGATTTAAAGAACATTGCTATTTAGTGTAGCCAAATGAACCGGCAGAGGAGAATATGTATGGGAGAATCATATGAACTCCAAACAGATATTATTGTGTTTTCTTTTTCCTCATTTTAATAACAAGAAAAATTCTTTGATAGACTAGATTTACTATATTATTTATGATCTATTTAATAAAAATATGACATTCAGATGATATTAAATATAAATTAATTTTAACATTAATAATAGTAGATAAAGACGTAAAAAATTAAATTTGTATTTTATTTTAAAGATAAAATTAATTAAAATAATGTTATAAAAAATTTTATTTGAATGAATTAAGACATTTTAATTGAATATATTATAAAAATGTGGAATCTAAAATTTTCTACAATAACAACCTAAAATAAATCACAATCATTTGGGCCAACCTCGACGAACAAATCTGAATCCATATAAAAAATTTAGGGCCAAGGTAAAAAAATAATAATAATTTTTTAATGTTTGGATCTATTTAGGAGGCTTGAAAAAATTTGGGTCAAGCCCGATCATGTTCAGGCTTAGGACAAATACCCAAAAAATAAATTTTTTAAATATTAATTAATTCTTTATGTTTTATGTCATTTTATACTAAAATATCATATATTTGAGTGCATTACTATAGTTATTTTTAAAAAAAAATTAAAAAAATTATATTTTCATATTTTCATTATTTTTAATCAATAAAATATCTCAAAATAATATTTAAAATATATTTTAATATTGATTTTTATTTTTTAAGACCCATTTTTTACAAAAAGAAGTTGAGTCCTATGCATCATTTGTGTATATAAAAAAATATATTTTATATTTTTTATAAAATAAGATAATTAATTCTAAAGTAAAAATAATTTTAAAAATAACATTTGAGCATGTATGAATTCTTGATTCTACTACTAGATAAATATAATAAATAGAATAATATTCTTAAATAATCAGTTGGTTATCATTCATATCAGATTTAGTAAAAAATTAAGAATAAATTAGAGTAAATACCCATTATATGTAAAGGTTAAATAATATAAAAATTTTAAAAATTAATATTTTACTCATAATTAAATGATTTTGTTTTATACAATATAATGATAGCTATTTTTCTCATATTATTAAAAATAAAAAGTACAATTTATCCAAAAATTATTAAAAATTTTGAACTAATCAGGATAATAATTTTAAATTAGTGGTTTAACTGTAATTGAATTGCGATTAATTTGATCATAATTAAAATATATAAGATATTTATATCAAAAAGCAATATTTAAATAACTAAGATATTAATTTATAAGCAAAGAAAATATTCATGAATAAATTACACATAATAAAATAAAATAGTAACAGAGCTATTTAAGTACAAAGTTAATAAGTTATTATTTTTTTATTTTTTATTTTAAAATTAAAATAATATTCTATACTTAATAGAATTATTTAAAAATTAAAATTATTTAAAAATTAAAATTGATTCAAAAAATAAAGGAAAAAATATTTTTTAAAAGTTTTGAGTATCCAGGCCGACTCAAATAAGCCTGAAGGTGTTAGGGTTGAGTTTGGCTATATGAGCTTTTTAGAAAGGGTATTATATTTTAAATTCGATCCAAATAAATCCGACTTGCTCTACTTATTGGCTCTAGGTTATCAGTATAACATAGATCTAGCAAGTCACATCATCATTATAACTCATGAGACTAGGACATATAGACATTACAAACTGATATAAAATCAATACTTCTCCAATTCTATATATTAATCACTTTGTAGAAGTATAATGTGGTTTCATTTTATAAGTCACTAGTAGATGGGATTATTTTATTTCAAATTAAAATTTCTAAACTACCCTTGAAAAGTAAGAGAGAGAAAGATAAAAAAATATTTAAAATTATATTATTTACTTTTTGTTTTGTACTTGAGGGTTATATTTAAAATTTTACTTACTTTTATTCTTATATTTTTATTGTATATGTATTGATTAAGTTGGTAGAAATAACTTATAAATAGAATTGGAGAGAGTATAATATATTAAAGGGTAAAGTAGCAAATCTAGCCACAAACTATTTTTTCAGGAGCATCTGGCAGTCTAAACTATCATATGGTGCAAAATAAATTATAAACTTTCAAAAATGAAGCATTCAGTAGCCTACCGTTAACTTCAGCTAACAGATATTATGTGAGGCCTACAATGACACATGGCACGACACGAGCATGATATATTAGTATGATAAATATGCAAATTTAACCACAAACTATTTTTCGAGGAGTGTTGGCTAACCTTTACTATTAAAAATACAGACCATCCAACACTTTTCTCTCAATTTTAACCAAACACCATTTATTTTTATGCTTATGAAGCTCACAAAGCATTAATTTTTTTAATCTTTTTGCCTTCGTTCTTAATATAAGCTTCAAAAGAAGAGGTTCAATGAATTCTTATCTGAAGACATTTACAAAGATGATGCTAATGAAGTATAAGCTTGATTTTACTATATATGGAAAAAGCTTGATTCTAGCTTAATTTAATCATAAATTATTTCTTCTACTTTGTTAGTGTCTTCTTCATGAATATCTTCAAATAAGAACTCTTTAAACCTCTTCTTCTCAAGTTAAGATTGAGAACGAAGGCAATAAGATGGAGAGATTAATGCTTTATGGACTTCATAAATATGAAAATAAAAACTGTTTGGTCAAAATTAAGAGGAAGGTGTTGAGTGATCTTTTTTTATAATAGAGACTACCTAACGTTCCTTAAAAAATAGTTTGCGGCTAAATTTGCACCTTTACCATACTGACATATCGTGCCTGTGTCGTGCCAAATGTTATTGTAAGCCCCGCATAATATTCGTTAGCTGAAGTTAACGGCAGGTTACTGGATGCTCCATTTTTTAAAGTTCATTATTTATTTTGTACCATATGATAGTTTAAGTTACTAGATACTCCTGAAAAAATAGTTTGTGATCAAATTTACACTTTTATCCTATATTGAAAGAAGACTTCTATGTGAGACATTACTTTCTCTTGGGAACATGAGCAATGATTTCAATCATCAATGAAAATTCCACCATATGTTTTTGGATCATGATAGTTTTCAAAGTAAAATGATGCATACCTGAATTTTGCTGGATTAATTCAATATTGATAACTCAATTGACATCAACAGCATTGCCACTTCTGAAACACTCATCCATGATGGCCAAAAAAAAAAAAATTAAATAAAATGTTTTTTTAAAATATATTAATTATTATCTCAACATTGCTGTTGGATTTTTAAGGAAAAACTACATTGACAAAAAAAAAAATTATTCACAAACAAGAATTAATAAATTCCGTTAAAAAAAATTATATTTTTATTTTAACAATAATTCATTTTATATTGATCTTTATTTGTGAATAATTTGTATGAGAGATTTTTAGATGTGATTCTCCCAATTTTTAAGTATCCTTGAAGGTTTCATCCCTTGTTGAACTTGAATTTTTTTTCTGTACGATGTGCTCTTGTTTAAGCATATACGTTTGTTATATACAATTATTGGCTAGAAAACTAAAACCTCATCTTAAAAATTACGCCGTAAAATTTGATATAGAGAGAAACAAATAAGCAACATGAAATGAATTAGTTTTGACAAAATAAAATATAAGTTTATATTGAAGAAAAATAAAACAAGAGTGATTGAAAAGATATTAAGAATGAATGAACTACAGGTTTGAACACAACGAGTACAAAATCATAAAACAAACGTGATTGATAATTTAAATTATAACAAATGAGAATTGAAGGTTTGAACCCTACTAATACAAAATAATAAATATGAAATAAAATATATACAAAAAGAAAAAAAAAACCCAATTACTTTTTTTTTAATTATATTTTGCGTTGCATTCTGATAGTGGTAGAGAAATAATTGATGTACACATTTTTTCCTCACTATCTAACTATAAACTCAGCACACTCTGCTACATGTGTATGTTTATATAAATATATCAAAACCTTCTTGACAATAACCGCACTTCTCTCCCTCGTTAAAAAAAAAAACAAACAAACAAACAAATAAACTACAGTGAGAGGATGGTCTTAATGAGAATGCTGGAACTCTTAACAGCAATTTGTGTGCTTAAATAAGATTGCATACTTCAAATCATAAACTTTACAAAGAGTGAAGGATTAGCAAACTAGCCTCATGCATGAGAATTCTCCTATCTTTTATCATCCCTCTGTATGACATGATCATCTGAAATGCATGCTTTTACCACATCCTCAGCATGGCGGTCAAATTAGCTCTGAAAATATAACCAACCATGAGCATTTTTATTAAACGTCACAAAGTAAAAAACACTGGTTGCCAACTGAAACACAACAAAAGTGAATGATGATATCTTAGAACATGGACATTATGGTTAAAATCATCTTCTTTAACTATAGCTACCTAGCTCTTGTCACTCCATTCACTGCAAAATGAGACAGAAAATTCCAGCAGAATGGACATCACAAAAGGGATCATCAGACTTCAAATATTTTTGGTAATTTACAAATGTAGCAATATATGGAAGATGATTTATCTGCATAAATATGCATATATAATAATTAATACATGCTAAGTAATTTTAGGTGCTCGAAAGTCAAACATTAAAAAAAAAAAAATCAAATAGACATGAAGGAACTTGTGTTGCACATCAGTTTTCCATGACTTTTCTACCACGAATTACCTCTAACAGTAAACTTCCAAAATAAAATACATTATTATTTTGTATTCAAGTTATCTAGGTGTCTCACAGAAGGGATAAATATACCCCATGGTCGCAGTTGTCAAAATATAGTTCATTTGCAGCGAGTGCAGGAACATAATGACAATTTTGTAAGTCTTGAACAAGAAAATAACGTATTCAGACAACAATGTTAGTCTGAAAGTGCTTCCTCTTTTTTCTTTTTCTTTTTCTTTGTAAAAGATATATCCGCCACACACGCGCATACACACACAGAAATATTGTGACATTAGCAGTAATGTTCTCAATAATACTTGGACAACATAAAGATAAAGAAATAAAATAAAATGCAAATCTAATGAAAATTGATTATGAATTCAACATAAAGTTAAAAAGGTAAAGAAAATTGCTATAATATTTTTCTGGGTGTGGGGGGCAATAAAATTTAAAAGAACAAACATCATAAAACAAATGGATACCATTGTTAGCGATTCACTTTCCAGTTGTCAGCAGAATTATGGAAGGTATCTGGATTTACCATTGCTTTTTGAGTTTATCTTGTTTTAGTTCACTAATTTGATAGTTGTAAAATTTTGAAAGCCAAAACCCCCGTTAGGAATCACACAGTAAGCATCTAAACTACCCTATGGCTAAATAAAAGAAAGCTTATCTAGTTCTGGCATGCTTGTGCCTCCAGCTATAAGTGTGATTGATAGGTTGGATGTTATTATGCACCCCAGCTTTGTTAATTTATGGAGTTAGATGCTGACTTCTTGGATTAATAAAGATTCCCCTGACCTTTCCATCACTTTCTACTTCTTCCTAAACCCAGCTTGACTTCTATCCATGCATTAGAGAAAAAAATGGAGAAACTTGCATTCGTTATGATAATAAAAACCCAACATTCCACCTCACATAATTTCCTTTTCTCTGATATTGTGAAGCTAAGACTTTCTCTCTCTCTCTCTCTCTCTCTCTCTGTTTTTTTTTTTTCCTATGCTCTTTTTTCTCCATGCCTTTCATCCATAGAGTTTGAATACTAGAAATATTCATACCTCACCTCAATCTTACCACCTTCAATGACTCTAGGTGGCTTTAGACCTCAAGATTTTTATTTGGCCATTTGTACTCAAATGTCAACATTGTTTACAGTCAAACTCTAGTCATCCTTTGTCCAGACTCCATAGGACATGAGTATGAAAAAGTAATCAGCAATGACAGTCACCATCGGGCCATGACTCATTTTGTCCTTCCACCCTAATAGACAATATCCTCTTGCATTAAAATGTATCAATGGAGTCAGCCAAAAATGGGGTTAACTAATTTTATATTATCAAATGTTTCACTTATGATGTGGCCTGTATTCAATACATGCACATCTCCTGGTCATTACACATTCAAAAACCTCATGATACAGGAGCAAAATCCGCGTAACCCTAATCATGGGTCTAACAACTTAATGAGCATGCAAATATGGTGACAAGATTGCCACATTTCTGAATTTTAAACCAAACAAGGCAGCATAATGAATATATAATTGGAACAGGAGGGGAAAGGAATCATAATGAAAAAAAACTTTTGGCATATACCTGAATATAAGCACCAGTCTTCACATGCCTTTGAACCAGCATCAGCAATGAAATTGACTATAATTCTAGACTGTTCAGAATCAACTTACAAGTGTTCTGAAGCTATTAACCTTTTGCCAAAACAAGAGCAGAACTCAAATTGCACGGAGTTCAAGATAAGACGAACTATTCATGACTAATGATTAATGTGGCTTTCAACAAATTTTATAGGTATAGTGATTCTATACAATCATATATTTCTATGGGTTTCTACGGACACATCATCTTTCTCAAATTGAAGAGAGTATCATAATGCCCTTCCCCAGAGTGGGTAACAAAAATGACCCTTCTCTGCCATAATTCACGGGAAAAAGACAAGCATAAATAGCCTTGATCTTATCATGATATCCTAAGGATCTCATTTCTTGTCATCTTTGGATAGAGGTTCCCATAAGAATTCTGCAATCTAGAGAGGTTATAAATGTCCTTTGGGAAAAAAAGATCTTTTCCTCAACTCAAGATCTCCAAAACAGATATGCCCAATCCCATTCATTACCAGTAGTCTCCACATGAACATAAACCACCTTTGAAGTGGTGAAATCGGTTTGAATCCCTAACAACAATGTATCTTTGTTCAACGAGTGATATTAACTTGATAAAATTATGGCAATCTCCACAAACTCTAAGATTTTTCACAATTTGAATGGGAACTTCAGGAACTGTAGCTATTAACCCAAAGGCAATGGCTAACCTTTCACTATGCTGAGAAAGAATGGCTTCTTTGTGTTCATCCTCAACATCATGAAACACATAGTTTGTATCAGGTTGATAGCCTGCATCCTTCAATCTGATATTTAACTCAGCAAGTTTTGAGTAAATCTGGTCTGACATAGGATGTGATAAATCACCAGCCAGGAATGAGTATGTCTTGTTTTTTACTTCAATCCAGCTATACCCTGCTTCCTTTTTCACTCTTCTCTTCTCCATTAGCTTTCTCACATTGGCTCTCTCTTGCCACTTTCCTGCCGCAGCATACATATTGGATAACAGGACATATGCAGCTGAGTGTTGCGGTTGAAGTAAAATAAGTTTTTCTGCAGCAAGTTTTCCAAGGTCCATATTTCGATGTACTCGACAAGCTGCCAAGAGAGTACGCCACACCGTTGTGCAAGGGGGAAACGGCATTCCATTTATAATATCCATGGCTTTGCCCAGCAATCCTGCCCGGCTGTATAGATCAATCATGCAAGAATAGTGCTCCATTGTGGGGCCAATGTGATGATCATTGACCATCATATTAAAATAACGTTGCCCTTCATCCACCAAGCCAGCATGGGTACAGGCAGAAATGACACCAATGAATGTTATAGCATCCACCTTCATGTTTTGATTTTGCATTTTCTCAAATACCTCTACAGCTTTATTTGCATGACCATGTTGTGCATATCCAGAGATCATTGAGTTCCATGAAACCAAGTCCCTCTCCCCCTGCCTCTTGAAAACTTCATGTGCACTTTCAATATTGCCTCTCTTTGAATACATAGTAACAAGGGAACTACTCACACACAAAGCATTATTTAATCTCATTTTAATTGCAAAAGCATGGAATTGCTTTCCCTGTTCTGCTGATGCTGTCGAAGAAGAACATGCATTGATGATGCTAGAGAAGGTAAACTCATTTGGTTTAATCCCCTCCCTTGACAATTGGAGGAAGATTTTAACAGCTTCTTCAGTTTCACCTGTTTGTGCAAATCCAGCTATCATTGCCGACCAGGCAATTATGTCCTTAGCTTCAATAACCTCGAAAACTTTAACAGCATCATTAATATATCCTATCTTAACATAAGCATCTAAAAGTGCAGTTCCAACTGAAGATGATTTCTCGTAGTTAGCTTTGATAACCACTGCATGTATTTGGAAAATGGAAACAGCATTTTGTACTTTAAGGATGGTAGAGTATGTAAAATGATTTGGTTTGACACCCTCCCTCCTCATCTGGGAAAACAAATTCACAGCATGCTCGGTGTTACCATTCTGCAAGTATCCATTGATCATAGCAGTCCATGACACCACATTCTGACCCCCACTCATCAAGGACAAAAGATGATAAGCATAATCCGTTTCTTTGCATTTTAAGTATGCATTCATCAGTGCAGTTATGGTACCTTGGTCATTTGAATACCCGCTCTTCAAAGTCCTACAATGTAGCAATCTTACGAAATCCAATTCTTTCAGATTGGCACATGACTTGATAATGCTACCAAATGTCGATTGAGTAGGCTTAACCCCTGCAATTTGCATGTGATAAAACATTTCTAAAGCTTGCAAATCCTGCCCGTTCGTCACTTCTCCTGAAATCATACTATTCCAAGAAACTGAATCCTTGCTCTCCATACTATAAAAAATAGCTCCAGCATCTCTTAACATGCCTGATTTTGAATACATGTTGATTAGAGAATTGCATACAGGTGTCATAGTCTCAAAACCATGTTTTATAACCATAGCATGGATTTGAATTCCTACCTCCACTGCACCGTGGTTGGCCAGAGCTCCGATAATGGTAGAAACAGTATAATGGTTAGGCATATATCCCTCAACTCTCATCTGACAGAATAGTTCCAATGCATGATCATCATATCCATTCCATGAATAACCTGAAAGCAACGAAGTCCATGAGACCACATTTCTCTCCTCCATCTCGTCAAACACCCTTCTCCCATCTCTTACACACACATTTTTCATATACATATCAACAAGAGCAGTTCCTACACTGACATTCTGTAAAAATCCGGACTTCATACATTGACAATGCACTTGCCTACCCACCATGCCGTCAAGAGAACTAGCACAAGCTTTCAAAACGCTGGACAAGATGGGCCCTTCAATGGGTAAACCAGAACGACAAAGACGCACAAACAAATGGAGAGCTTCCCGGGTTTGGTCACTTTGAGAGTAATAGAAGAGCAATCGGTTATATTCTTTAAGGCCTCTAAGAGGCATTTGATCGAACAATTGATGTGCAGCTTCCGAAGGATCATGTTCCACACTACCCGAGAATCTGGGATCGACGGCAACTGCATTTGATTGAAATAGAGGTCCAGTATGATACTGAATGCTTCTTCCACTTCTAAGGATTGGGTTTGGCAAAGTGTTTGTGAGTAATCTCAAAGACGGATACGAAGTCATATTACTGATTGATTCTGAAGCCTTGACGGCAAGAAGCCGCCGATAGAGGGGGTGCAAGTGCAACCATGTGAAACGACGTCGTTTCTTGTTGGAGCCTGTAGCTAAATGCCTAAATCAACTTATGTGCGAACTGTGAGCCAACTTATTACCGGACACATACATACAATGATACAAACAAGCTCGATCTATTCCAGATTTAATATTTAAACGAAACAAATTATTTAAAATATGATTAAATATTTTTATCAATTAATTAATACTAATCCACGTGATTATAATTTTTTTATTACTCATATATTTTAATATTGGAGATAATTTTATTCACAATATCATCGAGTATTAAATATAAATACTTTTTTATTGAGAATTTGAATATTGATTCATTATATTATAAAAAATTAATCTTTTTACTAAACTTAACTGTGATTAGTCATGTGATTTAAATTTTAATCCTACATATATCCCAACAATGCAAGAAATTGACCATGGGGATTTGAATTTTTATAATTGTTGTTTAATAGTTTTTTAATAATATTTATTTTGAATTTTGTCAATAATAATTGTGATAATTTCTTAATATCAAAATTTTCTTGGGTCAAAATTCTTAATATCAAAATTTTTTTTTCATTTTTTGTGAAAAAAATATTTCACCTTTTTCTGTGCACAAGAAAACGTATTTTGTTATGTTTGCCTAATTGCATTATTACATTTTTACTAGTACCTAGTATTAACGTGGGCTTATCCATAGTTAAATATTTTTTTTTTTTAACCATTGAATTACCCAGAAAAAGCGAACAATTGACCTTGAGGCGACGTCGTTTCCTCAACTCATAGTTGCGACCGGACCAAGCCGAACAGATCGATATCGCTGCCCTCGTTGCAACCTGAAAAGATCAGAGAAGGGGCTGACAAAATTGTCGAATAAGCACACGCAGACCCCGACCTCCAAGCCAACGATCCAAAGAAGATGGAAGTTTCTGTTGCCTATGCGGCCTCGACGTCAAGGCCTGTGTGCTTCAATCATGGTCTATTTCACTCACAAATTCGTTCTTTTACTTCCACTAAGACCACTGATTCCATTGCCACCGGTCGCAATAGCAAGGGAAGAAGGAAATCCGTTTCTGTAGCTAACGCCTTAAATGGCTCCACTACCACCAAAAACACCTTATCGAGTAACTGGGATGTTGACCTTTGCCAAAATTACTCTGCAACTGCATCTCCATGGCTTCCAAGATTCGAAGAGCTTGATACTACCAACATGCTTCTCCGTCAACGAATCGTCTTTTTGGGTTCTCAGGTTGTTTTTTTTTTTAATTTGTTGGTATTCCTTTTGTTATATATCTGTTTTGATACGTTCTGATACTTATTCTATTCTACGGCAAGATATCATTATATTTTCAAAGTTTTGGTGCTTCACAGTTTACTGATTGATGATTCATCCCTTTATAGGGGAGAGTTCTTGTTTATTACTTGTTACATTTTAGCCCACAACTCTATTTTTCTTTCATGATACTAATACATGTATGCTTGCTTTGGTATATTTTAATTATATCTCGAGAGATTCACTAGTCAAGCCCCTTCTTCCCTTCACCTCGGAATAAAAGAAGTAAGAATAAGAAGAAACAGATATTAGAGACCAAGCATAGAAAAGGAATTATCATATAGTGTTTGGTTATTTATTTGAGCAGGTGGATGACATGACGGCGGATTTTGTAATTAGCCAACTGTTGTTTCTGGATGCCGAAGATCCCAAGAAAGACATCAAGTTATTTATAAACTCACCTGGTGGCTCCGTTACTGCTGGTATGTCAGCTGAGTTTTATACTCGTATTCTGCTCTCTTGGACCTCTACTTCTGCTTATCTGCTTACCCCTGAGTGTCTGCAACTAAGAGTCAAAATCAACATTTTAATATGATAGATTTGAGTGGTAGAGCCACCATTTGTTAGACTAAGACTTTTTCATGAACCAGAATACCAGATATGCACTTGAACTGAACTCACGTTTCAATCTGGCAGTTCACAAATTCTATCTGTTCGTACCAGACTTGAGTTGTTCAAGTTTCAATGTTAGTGGATTGTTTCTTGTGAAAGTTGTTTGCAAAGATCGCCATTTGTCTACTGACAGAAATTTACGTATATTATAAAGCTAGCATGTATTAAAATCAACCAAGTTTTTTGTGAGTCTTATGGCTTACTATATTTACTCATAAGCACAACAATTTGTTGACTATGACAGAAGTGCTAAATCAGATCTATGAAAATATGTAGCTCATTATATCAATGATTAAGTTCTTTCCATGAAGAAGGAATCCATGGAAATAAGCTAGAAAGTAGGAACTAAGGTCATGTTTGGTAGGATGGAGCCATCTTGGGGAAAATGGGAAAAGAAAGAATTTTAATTATTGTGTACTAAACAATTAAGATAGAGATTTCTTTCTCCTTGTCCCTTTCTTGAATCTTCCTTCGCTCATGCCAGACATGACCTAATTTTTTACTGAAATTCTGACCTTAAGTTTATTTGCTTTTTTATGCTTGTTGGAGCTAGCTAGATTATGCAACAGATTTTCAATTACCTAGGAACAACATGTTAAGAGTTTGATGAGATATGAAGAGGCTGTTTTTCGTAATGAAGGACAGGACCAAAATGCAACCATGGATTAAGATTGAGACTGCCCATTGATCCTTTCTGTGAAGGAATTTCATTTAAGATTTCGATGAGTTGGATGTCTTGGAGAATTTAACAATTCTATAGTTTAGATTAAGAACATGATAACCAAGCATTAGTTGATAGAGGAATGAATCTAGTATAACTCTCGAGCTTACAGCTGTCTTCAAAAACATAAGTGAAGTCCAATCATGGTGATTTTTGAGTGGATTCTCGATTCTTCTAGAAAAGACACAATGTTTTAAAGGAAAACCATTTTATTTCAGTCACTCTGTGATTAATAAGCATATCTTACCCTGTCAAAAAGTGGTTGGTATTGTAGAATTGTAGCTAATAACTTTTAGGATGTAAAATCTGCTATATCTAAGTACAGTGTGCACTTACAGAGTGGACATGAGCCATGATGAGATTAGTCGACCAATTATGGTCAACCTAAACAAACTCTGCAGTGGAGGCTAAGGTATTATGGGATGCCTAGTTCTTATGGAGAAATGGGTCGTTCTATGGGTTCTGAATGGTGAAGGGTTTTGACTAATGAGGAAGTAGTTTAGACTGTTGCCGCTGCTGCTGGGATATCAATGACTCTCAAGAGGGAGCTAATTGGTAGAGACTAAAATAGAATGCGATGTCTGTGTCCAAGTCTTTCTTAGAGTAATATGGGATGCTCTATATGATATTTAAGTAAGTTGGTTATCCCAATCTGACCTCAATAGCTAGCTTTTGAAGGAGGGTTCTCCATCCCTCTTAAGAACCATTACTCTATAAAAAGAATTATGTAGCCATTTCAACTATAGGAAGCATTTTGATTTATTTAATTCCACAAATCTGAAGTATATCTAGGCCTTCTGCTGGTAAGATACCTCTGACCTCATTTCACTGCGCGCAGGAATGGGAATTTATGATGCCATGAAGTTATGCAAGGCAGATGTTTCAACCATTTGCCTGGGGCTTGCTGCATCCATGGGTGCATTTATCCTTGCTTCTGGTACTAAAGGGAAGAGGTATTGCATGCCAAATGCAAGAGTTATGATCCATCAGCCACTTGGAACTGCTGGTGGAAAAGTAAGATAACTTTTGCTGGAGCTATTTTCCATTCATTTTCACTGAAAACAGAAAAAGCATGGGTGAAAAAGAATTTGGTCAGGTTACCTCTGAATTGCTTGAAAATAGGAAATCAAATGCCAGAAGAACATTTGTAGTATTTTCAGACCAGTGATGGTAGAAACATGGGATAATATACTGATACAAATGTTTGGTCCCGGAAACAATTTTGAGCCTCTTGAACTATTTTGCACATGCCATGACCTTCTGTCTCGTTTAGGTTTTTTTTTTTTTTTTGTTTTTGTTTTTGTAAGAAAGGAAGACAATTTTCTTGATGTTGAACAAGGAAATCCTAGATTCACATGCATTTCTTCTCAGTATATATGGTAGTGTATGTGTCACAAATTATATGTAATTGGACTAATAAAAAAACCTTCAGCTAATAATGATATTCTGGTATAAAACAAAGTTGATGATGATATTGCAAAACCGGGCCTGTATAGCACTATCTTTTTTGGATAGAAGTCTCTTACCTTGAATTCTTTTGTTAAACGTTCCTGTGTATACCACTAAATGGTAAATGCAATTACAGGCTACAGAAATGAGTATTCGTATAAGAGAAATGTCATACCACAAGATTAAGATAAACAAAATACTATCAAGAGTGACTGGAAAGTCTCTGGAGCAGGTTAGTTATCTACCTCCTCATCTTATTAGTAATTTTGTTCCATATCATAGTTGTTATCCACCAATTCATTCTTTTAATCTACAGGTTGAAGTGGACACTGACCGTGATAATTTTATGAATGCTTGGGAAGCGAAAGAATATGGATTGATTGATGGAGTTGTTGATGATGGCAAGCCAGGATTAATTGCACCAATTGCAGATGCAAATCCACCACCAAAAACACGGGTATGGGAACAGTGGAAGGTTGAAGGAGGCCGAAAGGCGAAGAAGAATTTGCCCTCAGAGCATAGGTTTTTGCAGAATGGATATAGAGGAGGCCAGGGAAATGATGGCGATAAAGGCCCTGAACAGGAAAATGAAACACCTGCAGCAGTATGAAACAAATATTTTATTTTCCTCTTTACCCTGTAGCTCTCCTTAAATTAATTTGTATTCGTTATCTGCATAAGATAAATGGGATTTCACTTTCCCTGTCAGTCACATGCCATGCAGAATCTAGATTGTATTATAGTCAAGGTTTTTCTGAGCACCTCAATTGAGTATAATCTCTTTTAGTTTAGTTGTTTAATGAGTATAATCTCTTTTTTGTTCTGTGATTAATGATGAGCCCAGTTTGGTTTTCCTGTTTCGCGGATTTTTTTTAATTACATCATCCGATACTTTGAGAAGCTTGAAAATATTATCATCATCTACTTAAATTAGCCTAAAACCTTATTGTGCGGCACTGTTTATTTTGAGAATAAGTACTGACCGTTGTTGAGCATAAAATATCTTGCTCAGTTTTTTAATTTTTTGGTAGAATCTTGCTAAGTTCTTTATTTACTTGAAAATAGAGTACGAAAACCACAAAATTTGAAAATTGTCTCCCCAATTCCTAACAAGGTTGGACCGTTTGATTTCTTCTGTATTGGACTGGATTTAAGCCTTTTAAAGCAGTGAATGTTCTTCGTCAGTAGTGGTTTTTTATTTTCTTATATGTATTCTTTTATTAGATGCAATTTTATTTAAGGTATTATAAAATACTAAATGTAAACATCTCTTTTAATAAAGATTCAAATATTAGTTTGTTATGTTATAAATAAATAGTTCCTCTTACTAAACCCAACCTTTATCAGTTTAAGTAGTGAATTTGCTGTTGTTAATGTAATGAATTTAATAAGCTCAAGGAGCTTGTCATACTTATTTTATGAACAGAAAAGAAGCCTGTCCATTCTTCATTCATGAGTTTATAATTTTGGTTGCCCTCCTAGTTAGATTGTAAAGCGTGATATATACATATTGCCTTCCTCTGAGACTGAGAGAAAATGGTTTATATATATATAAGCACACTTTGGTTGGATTAACATTACTTTTTTGCGGCTTCTCCAATGTGTTGCATCAACATTAATATTACATGCACTTAAATATTGAAAATTGTATTTCTGGCCAAAAAAAAAAATATATTTAAAATTGTATCACAATTTTTTATTTATTAAAATGAAAACGACATTACAATTCGAAATATATGGTAGAAGTAGATAGTACAATTTTAAAAGTAAATCCATTTGAATAAATGTTAATCAATAATAATAATTTAAAAGCAAACCTTCTAATCCTGAGGTTCCAAGTATTCGTTAGACTCACAATGTATGCTCATAATTATGTAAGTTTCCATCTTATGCATTCATTACACAGAAAAATCAAATTCATAGGGGAAAACGTTTTCAGATAATTAAAAAAACTATATAAACATATATATATATATATATATATATGTATATGTATGTAGAAGTCATATTTGGCTCAAAAAAAGCAAGAAGTCGATATCCAAAAAGGATGAAGATCCAAACAAGTCAATCTTGAAAAGGAAATGCCAGATTTTGTTTTTAAATCTAAGATTTTAGTAGAAGTGTTTATGAGATTGGATTGGGGCGGTTCTTTTCTGTATTTCTCCTAAAAAAGAATCAGAATTGAATTTTTATCTCATTCAAGGCGCGGGTGAAACGGGACTAGGAAATATCATAAATAATGAAAGCCTTTTAATGCTTGCTTTGTGACATTAAAATTATAAGTATCAAGATCTTTTAATTTTGCTGCCCAAAAAGATAGCTAATTTTTCATGCAAATTAGTACCTCAACCGTCTTTTAAAGATAAGGAATTCCTGAAATCATCAACTGCATGACCTCATGTCATAAATTCATATTTGAAGACACAGTGAAAACAGGCATATTCAACTTTTGGTTTGCAGCACATATGATTTTTGTTAATTAACTTATCTCCCAAATCAACAGCATGTGCTTCATCATTTCATCCATATATTTTAATACAGCATCCTGTAAGGTAATGGAGTTTATATACATTATCATTAATTGAGGACAGATTCTATTTTCCCTTTTTATTTATATAGTCTACTGCTAATAAAAATTCATTTTTTATTTTCGTTTTTGCTTTGAAACTTGTCTCCTTATCTTAAGACTCTGGTCCTGGATGATAGTAATAAAACACGTCAAAATTTTGAAGAGGTGGATGTACGTCTTAAAATCTCAAGATATGTTGCGCTTTTATTTTTTTAATTCAATCGAAGTGAAATTATATATATTAACAATATAATATACACACACTATTATTTGGGACAGGATGTTCTAACACTAAACCCTTGTCTCATACTTTTTTTAGCCAAAACAAACCTATGCCAACATGACTAAGACAGAAATGAGCCGATTGGGAAAGAACTCCAATAAACGCTTTTAGCTTCCATTGATGTCTTCACACAAGTGCAGATCATAACCAGACTCTAATACTAATTGTTAAGAAAGTAGGAGCATCTTTCATCATCTTCACACAAGCAATGTAGGGTTTTTATAATCTGAGTCATAATTAGATTTTGATACTGCTTGTTGAAAAATAAATAGGGAGTGCTACTCGAAAAGGATATGGAAAATCTAAATTAGGCAATGCCAAAAGGGACAATTTTTATATTTTTATCTAATTGATAAATGATACTATACAATTTTACAACTCATCATCCATGTCATTCTTCTCTCTTACAAATTACCAGAACTGTCATTAAAAAGTACTGTGCAAGCATATATAAGCAGTAGGAATGGCTAGTAAGCAAAAGATTAAAGTGTCCCAATTACACTACAAAAAAATGGTGAATTAGTGACAATTTTTTTGACACTAATCCATTGCTAATTCCGTCACTAAATTAGCAATGGAATGTTCCGTCGTCAAAATTCTATTATTATTCCGTCACTAATTCATTATAAATAATTTATCGACAGAAAATTCTGTGGCTAATTTTGGGATATTTTATTTCAATTTAGTGACAGAATTTGCAATAGAAAATTTTACCACACAACTTTCTGTCATAATTCCGTCACTATTTCTATTATAAATTATTTTTAATATATATTTATATATAATTTATTTAATAATTTATTGTTATGCTATAAATAAATAATTTAAAAATTATAATTTAAAATAATAAATTATTTTAAATTATTTGTATATTGTTAACAATAGCATAATAGCGTCTTGTAATTCATGTAGCCGACCCCACCTAGTGGGATAAAGGCTTGTTGTTGTTGTTATTGTTGTTGTTGTTGTATATTGTTAACAATAACTTAAATTGTATACTTAATTATTCTTATTATAAAATAAAATAAAATAAAATAATTAATAAAGAAAAATTTAAAATATTATATATTATATAGACACAAATTATAATATAATATATAATGATAATAAAATATTTTTAAATTTAATATTAAAGTTATTATCAAAAATAATTTTTTAAAAATTAAATGTAATAAAAATAATTATTACATATAAATTATTTTTTTCATATTAATAAATAAATATAATGTTAAAAAAATAAGTAAATTTAAATACTATATTTAATAATAATTTAAATAATGTGTGTGTGTGGTTAAGTATTATATATTTAATTTATCAATTAAGATTGAAGATTCATATCAGCTTAACTAGTAATAATATGAACCCAAAGGCACTAGGAATGAGATTGTGGGTTCGAGCTTGGCCAAAACAAATTAAAGGTAATAATATTTGACATGACAGTGGCAATGAGATGGTACTAGTCCATTGGGTGATGAGGCAATGGTAAGGTAGCATTGATCTACCGGGTGATATGACAATGAACAAAGTCAGAATAACTTATTCTTATTTAGCGACAAAAATTTTCCATCAATATCCCGTCATTAATTATTTCCTTTCTTGTCATTTGTTTATGACCATATTGTAGGCCCCCAGCTTTTGTGCGAACTTCATCCTACATAGTTATAAACTTCATCATGCTACTCTCCTCTACTTCGTAAATGCTTTCCTCCACTACTAACACTCTAAAATGTGTCTCGGATGGATCTTTGCATGATGCCTCTGCTTGCTTCTCTTTATCCTTAATTTGGTGATATTGCTTCTGCACTACCGGCTACTCTTCCAGCACTGTAACTTACCTCTATTGTTCATTCTCTACTCGAGCTTCAACATTTCCATTAGCATTCTCTATTATTTCCTCATTTTGAGCACGAGAATGTTTCGAGGGGCATAGTTCTGATCTATGTCCATAAACTTCACACTTAGTATATAATAAGTGCAAACCTTTATATTCTAATTGGTAACCTTCACCATCCAAATGGAACCCAAACATCAATTGCTTGCTAACATTAACTAAAACACATTCTAGCAAAATGTCCTCTGAGTTGACAACAGGTGTGAATGTCTACCTTGATCATTTTACCAATCCTATTGCCAATAAAAGTGAGTGCTTCATTATCATAATACTCAAGAAAAACCTTCAAAACTCTAAGCCAGCATGCCACTTTGTCTATGGTTGCAGATTGAGGATTGAATTTTGGTTCCCAAGGTCTCACCATGAGGTAATGATCATAAATCATCCAAAGGCCTCCTATTAAAGCTTGAAAGTAATCATCCTTGTTTGATAGTTTTATAACAAAGTAGCCAAAACCAATGTTGATTAGTCTAATAGCACCCTTCTTTAACCATATAGCTTGGAGACATGATTCCAAAGCAATAAATCCAATGCTTCTATATATCAATTTGATAATAACCTCCTTTTTCCAAGCCTTGTAAAGTCTTTTCTTTTCTTCACTTTGTTTGAGAAAACAAAGTTGGAAAGTTTCTCTTAGTCTCTTCAATGGTTTGAAAATCCAGTTTGTTTTTTTCCAAAATGTTTACATTTGTTTTTTTAGCTTTATGAAACATCAAATTAAAACTTATCATTTAAATGTATGTTTTTTTTTAACTCATTCAGAAAAGATTAAATCAATTGGTGATAGGGTTTTGTATGAAGTGTATTCTGTTAAAATCATTTTTGTCCTACTTAGAATTGCTATAAACCCCCTCCCTCTATTTCAATTGATGAAAAAGAAAAAACAAAAACCTCACATATCCACTACATTTCTCTCTATGCAAGGTAATGCGTCTCTCTTTGTTTTTTTTTTTTTTTTTGTTATGTTTTTGTGTTTGTTGAACCTTAGAAGGCTGGAGGCTTATTTTTTTCGCAGGTGTTTTCTTAGGTCCCACTACTAAGGGTGAATGTTCCTTTTCCACTGACTGATTTATTTACTTCTCTGAATTTTTTTACTATACTTCTTGAAT